GTATTGTATATATATGGTATATATCTGGTATATATATGGTATATATCTATTCGCAAAGGGTTTACAACCATCTAATGAGCCAAAATTTCCTTCGTTTCTGTAGTCATCTTTTAGTGTTTTTGGGAGAAGTGAGATTTAAATGAACGCTGAAGAGCCGCACAAACTCTTAACTTGAATTCATGTCAATGTGCTACTGTTCTCAAGGAAGGTTTACATGCTATTAAAGTAACATCTTGTTTTTCACGGATTTGAATTCTCTCCAGAATTGTACCAGCACAGATTCTCCAATTGAAGTTTCATGGAATTTGTACGCTTTATTTACACCGAAGCTCTCTTTAAACACATAACAAACCTACTTTCCCTTGCAGTGGAAACTCTCTTTAATTATGCCAACAATGATCAGGAGTACTGCTTAAATTATGAAGTAATCAGCTTATCTTGCTTTAGGATTATCTTCTAAAATAAATTGAACATAAAATAAAATATTTTTGCAGTTTTATCGGAATGTTTAATCTTGCCGAAAAACCTTAAACTTAGAAGAGCTTTAAACCGAAACAAGAATTTTAATACAACGCTTGAATTCTTGAATTTATAAAAGAAAATGCAGGCAACAGGTTAAAACTACAAATTTAAATCTAAAGCTTCTATTAAAGTTAACTTCAATATATAATTATTTGTAATTTGGGCAATAAATTCGAATAAAAAATCCCTGCAGCCATTCTATAATCTGTTAAATTCAAAATTTAATACGCTTAATCTAAACTTTGTACCATTTTCTTTCGGAGGTCTCTACGAAATTAACTCATTATTTGCGATTAATATTTACTGAGGTCGAGGCATATTTTGACAAAATACTACCGAAAAAATGCTGGAAAACTGAGGAATTGACTAACTGTCAGCGGCCATGTTGGTTTTTGAATGTCGTAAATTTTGTTTAAAAGTTTATTGTTAAATTTTTTGATCGTGAAATAGAAATTATTTTTCAGAAAATTTTGCGAAAAGCATCGATTATGGAAATAATGAGCTTTCAATCATTTCGGATTAAAATGTGAAATTTGGTTTATCGCTTGACAATGGGATGGTATATCATATTATGACATAAAACGTAAATTATCGTATACATTTCAAACGCGGTAATAAATTCATTTTGGAGTTAAAAGCAAAAAAGTAGAATAATGCAATATTTAGGAGTAAGCCACGGTGAAATAATCTGACCGTTCAATTAGGCAGCACTTATCAATCAATCAAGAACATGCAGTAAATTCAATAAGCTTTATCCAAATTTGCCCGGATAAGATTTAAAAACTACACATCATATACATTACAATTTCTTGAATTCAACGACCCCCTCAATTTTTTATGAAAGATAAAACTTTTTATAAAGAATTATTTGGTCTGACGAGTGTAAAATTTTCAAAAAAAATAAATGTTCAACAGAATAAGCTCTTACTTTTGGGTTACAGAAATCCCCTATTTTGGTTTGTTATATTAGTTAATCGTTGTTTGACTATGAATTGGTCAAATAAGAATAACGTAAAATTTATTAGCAAATAGAACTGTCTAATTCTAAAATATTTGCTTAAATTGCATTAGTCAAGAAACAAAGAATTATTTTGAAATATAAATAATTAAATTAAAAATTCACTAATGTCAAATAAACATTTGAAATCCGGGACTAGACAATGCGTTTTTGCGGGGCAGTTGCGAGGCCGTTCATATTGTTACAGTTTTGCCGCATCGACGGAATGCGACGGTAAACGGGAAGACAGGACAGCGGGATTTGAAAGGCAACACAACACACATTTATATGAGAGCGTTTATACTGTATGGTTACAGTTAGTTTATTTGCGCAATTATGTTCGATGCGGACAAATTTATTTCATGCATTCAAGAGTGTCCGCCCATTTTGTAAGAAGCCAAAAAGATGAAAAGAAGAAAAATCGGCGGAGTGCTGGTTAGTTTGATATGTTGATAACCGGAAAACATTTTTCTTCATATTTTTGTAAATCTTCATAAAACTTCATAAATCTTTTACTAAATTCATGTCTGGGATAAAAAGGATGTACAAAATATCTTCTTCTCCTTTTTGTTGGCTAGGAAAAAAGTCATTTTGGCGAAATCAGTTATAAGGGGTGTTGTTTTTTCGATGTATAGAACTTTAAATTGCAATAAAACAACGATGGATTATTCGATTGACACGAATTTTATTTATCCGAAAGATAATCTTGTGGCATTACATTTTAAATGATTTCTGGAATATGACCGCCACGGCTGGCGCGGATGTAGTCCAATCTGGAAGTCCAATTTTCGATGACTTTTTCCAACATTTGTGGCCGTATATCGGCAATAACACGGCGAATGTTGTCTTCCCCACAGAAAGTAGTCTAGCGGTGTTAAATCACAAGAGGCCAATTCACAGGTCCAAAACGTGAAATTAGGCGGTCATCAAACGTGTCTTTCAATAAATCGATTGTGGCACGAGCTGTGTGACATGTTGCGCCGTCTTCTTGAAACCACATCTCCTGGACAACATGGTTATTCAATTCAGGAATGAAAGAGCTAGTAATCATAGCTCTACACCGATCACCATTGACTGTAACGTTCTGACCATCATCGTTTTTGAAGAAGTACGGACCAATGATTCCACCAGTCCATAAAGCGCACCAAACAGTCAGTTTTTCTGGATGTAACGGTGTTTCGACATACACTTGAGGATTAGCTTCGCTCCAAATGCGGCAGTTTTGTTTGTTGACGTAGCCATTCAACCAGAAATGCGCTTCATCGCTAAACAAAATTCGTTTATGAAAATCCGGAACAACGGCAATCTCGTTTTGGACCCATTCGACGAATCTACGCCTTACTTGATGATCGTTTGGCTTCAATTCTTCCATAAAGTGAATGGACACAGATCCAATTCCTGTGCTCGATGGCGGATGGACTCATTCGGGTCTTCCTTAATGCTACGCTCTACAGCAGCAATAACTTCTTCTGTAAGCACCGTACGGCGTCTCTGGGGATGCGAGTTATCAATAAGAGTAAACGTGGTGCGAAAACGTTCCATGGTTAATCGAATTAACTGCTCTGATGGACGATTTTGTCGACGATAAAATGGACGTAGTGCGCGATACGTATTACGCACAGAACCATTATTTTCGAAATAAATTTGCACTATTTGCAAGCGTTGTTCAGGCGTGACTCTATTCATGAAGAATTGCCAAACCAAACTGAGAATAAATCACTTAACGTCTCTTAAATCGGTCGCCATCTTGAACAGTAATGCCAACTTAAAGTTCTATACATCTAAAAAAAACACCCATTACATATATAAAATAGTATTTTTCTACTCCCGTCTGTAAAATACCTAATTACCCACCGATCTAGCGTGCGGGAAGCGTCACTTTACCACGTCAGTTTCGTTTCCCATTTAACTCAGTCGTTTATTAAAAACTCGCTCGTGTCAAATAACCCCGTGAGTCAAATGCCGTTTACCGCACTTGTTGCATAATAAATATTTGTGCCTTTGCAATTCGGAAATACATCATTTTCATTTTGGGGACTTTGGAATAACCATAAGCAGTTACAATAAGACTGAAGCTAACCAAAACATGAGAACAAAAAAATGCAAGTTTTCTACAAAAAAAGAATCTAACATCAATAATAAAAGAGCTCCAGTACAGGTATATCTGTAATAATAATAATAAAAACTAGACGTTATTACACATACCGAAGTGTTTTCATTTATGATTGGCCTCAATAATCCTTAATATTTTTTAAAATATGCACATTTATATTTCCACCGAAAAATTATTGCATTTTTATATTCAAAAAAATATTTAAAATCCAAAACAAAAAGTAATTTTAATTATTCTAAAGTTATTAAAATTTCTTTCCGCAGGCAGATTTGTCATATTTTTATGTTCAGAAAAACACTTACATTTCAGAGAAAACATCAATTTTTACGGAAATATTATATTTCAATCCTCATTTATGTAAATGATTTCGGCTAAAAGTTGAAGCAAATCTGCCGTTTCAAGAGTACAAACGATTTTCGTTTTTGAAAATGTTGCACAACTAGAACCGAGCATGCGTGACATAGATAGTTCCGTTCTAGCTCATATGTATAGCCTCAAGACAGCCTTCCCACAAAAACGCATTGTATAGTCCCGGGCTAAGGCCAGCCTTTATCCATTCTCCGTATATTTCTAAGGGTGATGGGAAAAAACAGGGAATGTCACAATTTTTAAGAAATGGAAATAATACCGCCATCTAAAAGGTATAATGCATATCTACCATTTGTAGTACACTGGCAGCTAAAAACTAATCTCATAAATATGCGTATTTAAAATATGAGTGCAAAGGTTAAAAACAAGGAATGTCCATGCGTAAGAGGTAAGAACAAGGAGGGTCCACTGAAATATCAATCAGAACATAACAAAAAATAAACGATTGTTAATCGTTTAATTAATTTTGCGAGGCAGGGCAGGCAGTGCCTTGTTTTTTTTTTTAATATTTATTGGTACTTAACAGTAAAAAATGTCTTCTGATAGTAGTGAGTGTAAAAATAACGCTGGTAGTACGAGAAAGAGGAAGAAAACTGGAAGAATGGTTGGTTGTTGACGATATGAAGAAAATGCGCCTACAGTCTCATTGAGGGCCGCCATGCAATTGGCAAAAAAAATTCTCCAGTGTAGAAAGAAAAGAAGTTTGAACATATGTTAATATTTTGCAGTCAAAAGATGAACAAAACGTATATTTGGCTCGAATTATGTCTCTAGTACCGCTTCAGAGAAGACGACCTCATCAAGCCGAAGAAAACGCAAAATTTCACGATGCATATTTTTCCTATAAACTTAGAGTAAAACGTGGCGTAGTTGCAGAGGAAATAAGTGTGTGTTTTAGAGCATTCCAGTCAATTCATGTTGTCGATAAGGGCAAAATTGAATACCTACAGAAAAATGTAAAAGCAACAGGGACTTCTGGTAAAGACCAGCGTTGCCTGACGTAACTTTTGAAGCTGTATATAAGTACATAACCAGATTATCTCATTACGGCCTGCATGAATCTTTAAAAAAGTATTTGCCCGAAAATTTTAACATTACAAAAATGTTCAACTTGTTTAATGAAAAATATCCGACTACTTAAGTTTCTTACGTTACATAAGGGCATATTTTTAACACAAAGTTTAATTTGTCCTCTGGATATCCAAGATCGGATACATGTTCAGCATGTGACGAATTCAAGGCAATATTAAAATCCTTAAATTCTGAAAGAGATGCTGAAGAAATTTGTAAATTAACAATACAAAATGCAATTGCTCTGGACTATCAAATAAAATTTTTCATTGCCAAACGTCAAAATGAATGACTATGTACTATCTGCGGCAGTTCTGTATGTGCATTTTAAATATTCGTGCATTACCTACAGGCCAATCCATTTTTAATACATATCCACAAACAGTTGCAAAGAAGGGATCAATTGAAGCGTTCCTATTCCATTGTCACCAATTTTATGGATAACAATGCAAACTATTGACACATATTTTGGGACTCCGCAGGCGGTGAAAAGAAAAACTATTCCATATTTCGCTTTACTCATCATGTTGTACATAAAACTAAACTTTTGGAATCAGTCAAAATAATCCGATCCCCTGAAGGAGGGCATTCCTATATGGAATATGATAAAAATATGGGGCTCGTAAATTTAAAAAAGCACATGAAAATCCCGAATGACTGGTTCGAACATTTGAGAACATCTAGGATAAAGTCATCACCGTTCGAAATAGTTGAAGTGAAACAAGTTATGGTTAAAAAATGGGACGTATTTTTACGTGATAAATATGTTAAAAAAATCCCCTTTCCCATACAGAAGATTAAACAAATAGAATCCACCCGGGAGCATCCCAGGCTAATTAGTTTTCTAACAAGTTTTCATGGTACCTGGACATAAAACCCTATTACTGCAGTAAAATATACCCGCCTATACCGGTAAGAGAATGGGCCGTGGTGGGCTGGAGGGTTGCCCTGGGAATGGGGCAGGCAAGGCCCTCCCTCCGACCAGGGAGCTGCTTGGACTACTTAGAAGGGAGTGTAGGGTACTAACCGGGGCCTACACAGGACATTGCAGGCTTAGGAGGCATTGGTGACGACCCGGAGTGCATGTGGATTGGGAGGAGACCCCGTATCATCTGCTCACCGAGTGCCCTGCTTTGACATGGCAAAATTTGGAGTCTTCGGAACGGCCCTGATCGATCCGGACTCAGTGCAGGGTATTGGGCTAAAGGAGTTGCTGACCTTCTACAGGAGGAGCAGCATTCTGGACACAATCTACCGCGGTCTGGGGGCACAACAGGCCCATCTGGTGGCCTAAGTGCTTGAACGCCAGCGGGGGGCGCCCGTCTTAAATACCAATACCAAACACCAATACTGGTAAGTTATAATGTGTGTGTTTTTACAGATACAACAATTTCGATTAAAGTATATTAAAAATGTTTGCGCTTAGAAACTGTTTGTTGTCATACTGGCAATCCGATTCTTTGTGCCTGCAAAACAAGTACAGCGTATAACACATCAAAATAAGATACATTTTTGACAAGTTTGTTTAATGTGAGTCTGTCGAAAAATATTATCATTTTGATTTTAAATTTTCAGATCTATTACTGATTCCTGCTGCAAAATACAAAAATCTGATGACACTGATGAGGTTTTGTAAACGTGATGCTCAGGCCTTTTGCAATACCCTACCTTACAATTAGGGTTTACTTTACCTAGTAAGCAAACCTTTTTTTTTTCATTATTTTTATTATTGACAGTGATATTTTTTAGCTTTGCTCGAAGTGCAACCAGAGCTCCACATTGTGACGTTGCAACATTCAATGTTTTTTTCGTGTAGTTAAGATTTTTTTTTATTTTTTTTATCTGTTCTCTAAAAATTTGAATTTGTGTTCATATATTTATTAGATTATACTTTTTCTTTAACAAATATAAATTTATATCATTTCCTTAATACCTTGGTTTAAAGATGCCAAATGCTAAATTTTTAATTATCTCAAACGACAGTCAATGTGACATTCCTTGTTTTTTCCCATAACGCTTCATATACCTGTAGCTATTTGCTATTTGAGATAATTAAGTTATATATGGGTAAGTATGAGTAGTGATAAGGCTAGACTTACAAAAAAATAAATAAATCAAATAATAACGGAACATTCCAGGTTGGCTTCGCTGTCCCTACTGGGAGCCCTATTCGGAGCGCCACTGGGCGGCGTGGCGATGCGATGGGGACGACGGCGGACCCTCCTAGCCGCTGGACTGCCATTATCGCTCTGTTGGATAGTCACGGTTTTCGCTGTAAGCGTAGAAGTAATGTGTTTCTCCGCGTTTGCCAGCGGTTTCCTCGTAGCCATCGTCCAACTGTCCGCACAAGTATACGTAAGTGAGATCGCCGCTCCATGTATCCGCGGAAGTCTAAGTGCCCTTCTAAAAATTTCCGGTCACGTCGGCGTACTGGTCGCGTTCACAGCCGGAGCTTTTTTAAACTGGAGACAACTAGCCGGACTGATATCTTTCGCTCCAGCAGCCATGTGCTTAGCTATGTGGAACGTACCGGAAAGTCCAGGGTGGTTGGTGTTGAGGGGAAAACATATCGAAGCAGAGGAAGCTTTAAGATGGTTACGTGGCAACACCGCGGACTTGGAATTGACCATGTTGCAAGCCCACGTGTTGGCAAACAAGCACAAATCCGATCCCAAACTTTTGCTGCGATCGCTGCGCACGCCGGCCGTGATAACCTGCGGCTTGATGTTCTTCCAGCGTTTTTCGGGCGCCAACGCGTTCAATTTTTACGTGGTGAACGTGTTCAAGGAAACGTTCGGTGGTACCAACCCCCACGCGGCAGCCGTAGCGGTTGCAGTCGTTCAGCTTTTGTCTTCACTTCTCTCGTGTCTCCTCGTAGATTCTGCCGGTAGACTGCCGTTGCTTGTAGCGTCGAGTGTCTTAATGTCTCTAGCCTTGGCGTGTTTTGGTTCGTTCGCTTACTACGAAGAAGCGAGTCCGGATCCGGTTCCGAATTTGGATTGGATACCGCTTCTATGCGCACTAGTGTTTACCGTAGCGTTTTCATTGGGCATAAGTCCAATTTCGTGCTTACTCGTTAGCGAATTATTTTCACTAGAACACAGAGGTCTAGGTACAGCCTTAGCGACTGGTTTCAGCTATCTATGTGCCTTCGTCGGTGTAAAAACATTCGTCGATTTCGAAGAACTCTTCGGCCTGTACGGCGCGTTTTGGCTATACGCTTTCATATCCGTATGTGGTCTGTGTTTTATCGTTTGCTGCGTACCAGAGACCAAAGGTCGAAATCTGACGGAAATTGACACTGGAAGATGACAGCAGGCGGCCTGCAAGCGGCCGAGTAAGGTGTCCGTTAACGTGGTAGAAAGATATTGCTAGCCGATCCGCAGGTGATCTGATATTTGACAATAAGCCGCTGTCCGACAATATTTAGAGTGATAATTTTTCGAAATTGGGAATTGTAGCGTAAATCACTGACAATATAAGATGTTATAGATTTTTCCGAAGGATTTTCTAGGGTAGTTATCGCTCAAGTACGTAGAATAGATATAACTCAACTTAAAAGACCGATTTCGCTGCGTATTTTAAGCGATTTAAAAAATATATATCTCTTCGTAGGTACAAAAAAAAACAGTATGTCGAAAACTTTGTTTCTGATTAACAATTACAAGCCTCTGGCATCCATCTGTGATATCTATATAACCACCACAAATCTCAGTGAAGCATGGGCATAGGTATATTCGGGTTTGTAAAATTGGACTATATTTTACCACTATTATTTGAATACTTTTATTATCAACTCTCCTGCAATTCAACATTTTCGGTGCTGGCTTATGAAGGTGATAAAAACTGTCCACAAGTCTGTTTTACCATGATAATTGCAAAGATTCAGTTAAAATAATGTCTAAATCCACCTCTACACAATCTTCATTTTCTCACGTCGATGACGAACTCGAAGTTGATGACTTAAGGATATTACTTAAAATATATTATTACAAAAATCAACAGACAAAAAGGAAAGAACAAAAGGTGTCGTCAAAAAATCAGAAAAGATAAACACAGTACAGAACAGTACTAAACTAATCAGCGTCCTAAAGTTGCATTGCTTCTGAAAATTCTAGGTTCTGGTTGTTTGTTTTACGCTGTGTAGGAATAAACGAACTGTTACGATTCTTTAGGAATATTTTATGGTAAAACCCACTCTACCATAGATTTAATAGTGGTGGGCAAAAAGCTTAAAAAAATAAAAATTCAAAACTAAGCAAGTATAATAGCCAAAAAAAAAGCAATAAATTACAATATAGTTGAAAAATTATTATCTAAAAAATACTTAATTGAATGTGGGGATAAATCAGGCAAATACTATTGTTTGGTTGGATTTGGTTTATTTTTTATTTTTACATACATTATCTCTCTAAATTTACTGCCCAATATCACAGGTTTGTAATTGTTATTAATAAAATAAAGATTTTTTATAAAATTTCGTAAACATAACGCAATTGTGTAAAATAGTTACTTCGATTTTGCGAACCAGACCACATTTAGATAGGTATTGGATGCATAATTTTCGAATTTGGAATGGATTTTTATCTTACCTTACTTTATTTACCTTGAACAGGTCTAAAATTGCTACCTATGAACTATTCAAAATGTTTAAAACTGAGTCGAGATAGTTATTGCATTTTAAATAAATGGACTAGCAAATGGAAACATTCAATAAGTTTTAAACGATTTCAAGTGAGAATTTGGATAATTTAATATATGTATGATTGCCATAAATTGTTTTTAGTGAAAATATCGGTGTCAAATTGTACAAAAAGAGTGCATATGTTACAAAAAAAATCGACTTAGAAAAAAAGTTACGAAATATTAAATGTCAAGTTTCATTTCAAAATTTTTTATGGCGTGATCACGACTGTCATCAACTAAAAAAATCAAAACAATATAAAAAAACTTTGATGATATGGATGTATAAAGGTTATTGAATGTTCCCACTATCATTTTGTTTGTTTCAATATAAAAGTTCTTTAGAATGCCAAATTGAAATTGAAAGAACCAAAACAAAATTTCACTTGTTTTTAAACATCCACCAACCATCAAAAGACTGTACCTAATAATCGATCAAAAATACCTGCAATGCATATTTTACTGTTGCTAGTGCATTTTTTATTATATGTTTAAGGCAGTGGAGTCGATGGGTGCTTTTTATGTAAAAATTCCAAAACTATAACTATGACTATATGTTTAAATTATATTATTTTTAATAGTTCAAAGATTATTCGCTGCGTTTACATTACTTTTGTAAATATCAAAAATTGCTGTATTAGAAAATATGTACTTAAATTAAACGAAATCCACATTAGACATTGCATATTGAGACTTACCAATAAAACTCGACTACTGCCATGACAAAGTATACAAGAGAGGATTTGGGTATAATCCATAGACCGTAGAACAAACCCAAAATAGTTCGTTGCGAACTTATTTTTGACCTAATAGCATATCCACTAAAATATATCAAAATACGACAATAAGTTCAAATCAAATATTTTAGAGTTATGATTTATCGGTTAATAAATAGCGATAAAATCGAGGAGAGCTATATTAAGACAAGTCTAAGAATTGTGGCAATTTGGTGTTTCTCAGCCAATCACTAGTCGTACATTGTGAATTTATACCTCAAAAAAAACTGCTTATGTACTATAGTGTGTAGAATTGTTCACGCTTGCTCAATAGGTTTAGGTGTTTTATCATGTTTTGAGCTACAAAAAACTAAAAAGTCAATTAAATGCGGCTTAGCAATTAAAATTATTTTCCGCATAGGACTAGAATTTGGATAATTTCTAAGGAATTTGAATCATTGCAGACTATATTTTTTGTAGTTCCCAATTGTATCATATACGATCGAGTACGAAATCTGTCCTTGTTCTTCAATTTGTGGAAACTTTCTTTGTACTGTAATCTGTGATAGAATAGCACAATAGTTAAATAAGTAAATTTCGTAACTATATCGAGACATTTATGCTACGATTTCAGTTTAGGTTAAAAGAAATTTATGACTAAATCAATCAGGCAAAAGCGGGTACAAAATTGCAACCAACGTTTCGATATATGTAGTTCTTAATATATTAAATTTTTGGAAAAAGTAAAGGACTCCTTTCCAAAAAGAGTGGCACTTACTACTTAATTATCAACAGTTTTCTAACTGATGTTTCATTTCATATACATATTCTGAAAAATTGCGTTTTCCTCAAATACTACGTAAATCGACTTACAACATCTCTTATCACCAATTTACTACGACGTAGTACGTAGCGACGCCCAAACCATAATCAGTTTCGAAAATCAGCTTTCCTATTTCATCATAAAAAAAATCTGTAGGAATTAGTAAATGATTGCAGGTGATTGGAGCTTTCCATATTCTCGTAATACCTATATAATTGATTTATTTAATAAAAATGACGTTTTTTGATATCATTTTGCTGTTTTAACTACTATTGTTTTAAATATTTATTATTATCCATATCAATATTTGGACCGACGCGTGTGTGGACGTACACGTCGGGCCAGATTGTTGAAGCGTATGTCGCGAGGTTTTTATAATTCGATATCCAACTAGATTTTTTAAATCTTTACCATTTGCAGCATGGAGAATATGCAGATCCCACCTAAATTTTGACTTTTGTATTCACGCAGACGCATGGGGCACTATATCAATGTCATTAACAATGACAGTAGAGGCGGTTACACGACACGTGCTTTGTCAAACCAAGAGCTTGGTTGGTGATTTGCTTCAGTTCGCAATTTTAAAAGCCAAAAGTGTCAATACAGCACGTGCTTCGTTCAAATTCATAACTCAAAACCTTTCCTAAACCATCTCTGACCCGGATGGTGACTAGTTTCCCATAATCTGCCATGGATAGAAATCACCAGATCATGAGTTGCGCACGATAGTTCTTTCCTTTTGGTCTAAATGTTTAGGGTTCCATATAACTTTTTCTAATTGAAGTGCTTCAATACAATCTAAATTTTTGTCTGCTGGGCAAGACATGTTTTGGCAACTAACATTTGTCACAGGTTAAGGTTTTATTATAACGGATATTTATAAGGGGTTTTTAAGCTTTAATAACAGTTTTTATAGATTTACAAGAAAAACAAGTTTGTAAAGCGTCCAACAAATACCTATAAAAATATAAAACCTTTGGTATTGCTTACTAACATTTTATAAAAAGGTTTTGTAACGCTTTCGAATTGACATAAATATCTTTATAAAAGAGAAAGAATAATTACTTTAAGCACTGTTCCTAAAACTTGAAGACATATTCCTTCAAAAATAATGGATTAAAAACTGTTCTCCATTTTATTTTTTTATATCATATTTTTATATCACGCCGCTATAGATTTACGAAGAGTAAAATCTAAAATGATTCGATAATTTGTTTGTGTTAAATAAAATTGATTCGTTGGTAGAAAAATTTGAAAGTTTTTGAGTTATATGTTATATTAATAGATATCAAAGTTGCTGTGAACTTTATAGTAAAAGCAAAACACAATGACAAGGACGGGGAATAAAACGCTAAAATAAAAGGACTTTTTCTGTTTGTTGTTTATCGACACTGTAGATAGCTTTTTTAGGGGCAACGAAAATATGTTGCTTGCCGTTATAAAACTTAATTATGGTTTATAAAAGTAACGACAATCTCTTAGGTGCAAATAAATATGAAGAAAAGGTTTATACGGAACTAAAATTGAAATAGGTAATTAAAATGTCACCGTTGCCATTATACAACAAAAAACACAAACCGGGACCCATAAGAAACCTCCCAGGCCAGACTCTGTGCGATTTGGAATTTGTCCAGACACGTTCGGCGCATCACGCGCCGCGTAACCCCCCTCAACACGCCGGTGCACACGAGAACGGAACTAAAACTGTATTCTGAGTCTGCGCGAATTCGAAAGAAGATAGAATGATCTGCAGATCTTTTCTCTTACAACGGTTTCTATTATGTAATTGAGTAGTCCACTCGACTAGAATAGGTCTGGGGTTCCCGATGTTAACACTGCAGGAATCATATGAGATCAGTGTTAGTCTTATGGCGGATTTACACCAAACCGACTAGTTGCTGTTTAGTTACACCTCCATAGAATGAAATGACTGTTTAGACCATATAGCAATTAGATAATATAGTGGCCTTACTACGTTAAAAATTGTTGCGCAGCAGGCGCCATTGATATTTTCGTAGGGAAGCTATGATTTTCTGCGCATCCCTCTGCATTTCACCCATCATCAGCGTCATTTTATTTCTAAACAGCGGCTAGACATATTTCAACTCGTTTTCTCAGAATTTTATACATATTTTGAAAAAATACTGTCGTATTAATGCTGCATCCAAACTAATTCACGATCTGTCAGCGGCCATGTTGGTTGTTGTAGCTGCAAGATCATTGCTTAAAAACGAGGTTTGAAGTTTCGCGGATGAGCATCTTAAATGGACCTTCTCAAAAATTTGTTCATAGTTGCTTTATAATACCTACCGGCATAGCCTCTGTATCTCTAGTCGCTACATGCTTTAGACCAAAATACAATTATAAGTTGCTGTTGTGCTGTTGTTTTCTGTCAGTGACACTAGGCAAACAGTTTTAATGGTGTTGATTTTTTAATTTTTAATTTGTTTGGCGACAAACAAATTAAAAATCTCTTCACTGCGCAATTACTCCCCATGACTCGGAGTCTTGACAGAAACCAAATAATCGTACAAATTGCTGTTTAAACTAAACTGACTGAGTTATAATACATGCGGCAACTCTTTGAAATGGCATACTTTAAGCGAAAAACAAAACAGGCACACTGTTTGAAAATTGGAAGTTGCCGAAAAAACTTCAAAAAATCTGAAAAAAGTTGCCGTTTCGTTTTTTTTTTTTTCAAGTTGTCGTTCTGTCGGTTTGCTGTAAAACGCCCATTAGAGACAAAAAGGTTGGGAACTCACAGATCAAATTCTTTTGAAGTTGGGAAACTGGTTGTTTAGGCTAGACCAGCAGTAGTAAAGTAGTAGTAAAATCCGTGTAAAATCACATCACTCATTCGCAAAAATGTTCTTTTTAAATTGGGAAGTTATACCAAAGAAAAACATACTAAAACAGTAAAATGGAATTTTAATCCTTTTCAATTCTTAAATCAAATAGATATAATTTACTTAAAAAACATAAGGATTTAGTTCCAGTAAACTTTAAAAAAATATACATTGCTCAATTTCGAATGCATAGACAATAAATAGTAATATAGTTTATTATACTTTTTTACAACAACCTAAAAGTTTCGAATAATATATAGGTAAGAGTAAAAGCGTTTTATTAGCGAAACAATATAGGTACTAGATAAATTGAATATAAAGACCGCAAATATAGTAAAATTGTAACACATTGTTTTAACAGTGATCTCACACACGCACTTAACTTAAAAATGCCACAGCCGAAGCGGAAGCCAACTGACAGTACAGGAAGTACCTTTGTTATCACCATAAAATTTATCTGGTATCTATATGAGCGAAACAAAGCAAGCGCTACTATCATATGGTGTCTTGCTTAAATGCCGAATCGACCAAATAAGAGAAAATAAATAAAAAATGTTATGTACTTACAGTTGTAATTTCATCGAAGGTGCAGTTTCTACATTATTAAAATGTTTTTCGAAGCAAACAATAATACCTACTATACTTACATGGACGTTAGATGATTCAAAATACTCATTCCAATGTTTTAATTGCGATGGGTCAGTGTGTAATTGTGATGTTCTTACAATGTCTCCAGAAAATTTTTAAATAGAAGTAGAGCATTGCTTGGACAATAATTTTTACGCTATCTTTTGTATAGTTTATACTAGAAATTTATGAAAATAAAGTTACTACAAGTGTTTACTGGTTTTTTATTTGGAATACCCGTGTATTTTTTTGTTTGTGTATTAATGGAATGTTGTTAAAACCTTCGGTATTATTTATCAAAATCTGGCGTTGAATAAATCCCTCTGTTTTTCGATGAGAATGTTCTAAAAAAGAAGTAAATTTTGTGAAATTAATCCTTGGTCAGAAGTACAGTCGGTCAAAAAAGTCTCCGCACACATAGCATTTTTTCAGTTTTCTTTTAGTTTCTTCTTTCACTTATATTTAATTAGAAATATATCTCAAGTAAATATCGGCAATCTCTTATTATTTTACATTAGCAAAATATATTTATAAGTTGCAAATAAGTTTAATGCTTTTAATTTATTTTAAATTTTTTCTACAAGAAAAGTTTTTATATTAAATTTGACAACCACACACGAAGTCATACAAATTTTCATTAAAAAAAACTGCTAAAATTTTTTTTTTCACATTGTTCGTGGTATAGACACTTATTATTATTCACCAATCTGAAATGTAAGAGATTAAAGAAACAGTTGTTGGTCTTCTCTAACAATCTATTACTTTCGAATAAGTCAAAATATCTCTGACATTTTCGAAATTAGTGCTGTTTATCTAGGTTCCACACCTAAATTGTTGGTTGCCTACGCTAAGGTTTGAAAATGTAAATAAAACATATTTAATTGAATAAAATTTAACTAAAAGTATAATTATTGTCTACTTACCTGCAACGAAATAACGTTAAGCGATTAGAGAATATGTTATCGAGTAATTATGTCGCCACATGTCACGTGAGGTAATGATGATCAACGTCCAATAGAACTTCGCCAAATATTGGTTATCGTGGTTTGTCATCACTTGCTCCTTGTCGTTGGTGGCAATATAAGTAGGAAGGTCTAGGATACACAATTAATTTGCTAACTACGCAACAGTCAAAAACAAAAAGTGTAAGGTCGTCAGTCATTTTACAATAGTTAGTTTTGTCATTAGGAAGCAGTTCCAAAGAAATGGAATCTCTACCCGTCACCTTAATAGTGAAAGCTCCAAATCAACAAATAGAAGATCAAAAAATTCAGTGCGAGCTGTCATGGACTATTAACAAATTAAAACAACACTTATCAGAAGTTTACCCGAATAAGCCTGTAAGTTATCTACCTCCAATTATTGGCCTGTATGTTTATCAATCATTGTGTTTTTTTTATCACTTTTAGCCACAGCACGAGCAGAAACTTATATATTCGGGACAACTCTTATGTGACTCGTTAGTTTTAAAAGACATTCTGAGACAGTACGAAGGACAAGATACACACACAGTGCATTTAGTTTGTACATCGAACTACACAGGAATGTCTACACCAAAGCAAGTGCCAGTTAACAGTTCAACTACTGAGCACCAATGTAATGATAGAGCAAATAATATGGCAAGTGGTGCTAATAGCACAAGTAACAATATATCCCCTGAATCAACAGCATCATCGGATATGCGGGATAACAGAGTTCCTAATCTACCCTGGATGAATTTGAATGCTCAACAAATTCCTCAAATGGATTTAACACAATATCAAATGCAGTTGGCATGGATGCAGCAGGCATATATGCAGTATATGACCCAATATATGCAAGTGTAAGTCTACCTTCAAATTATCTAAAAAATTCAAATATGATTAATAGTATTAACTAAGGTGTGCGGATGAGAATTGAATTTTAATTTCATAATATTTATCCAGGGGTTAGTCTGTACATAACTTTGAATAGCTTAATTTAAAGACCTTTAAATTAATTTAGCTCTGTTATTGTAAATTGATTTATGTATTTATTTAAAAGAGAAGTACTACTGGTTACTTACATATAACACAATTAAAATATTGGTATTGTTAATTGTTGCATCATTCTTTGATTCAAATAAATATATACTCTTTTTATTTTATCACAAGCAGGATTCAAGAGGGAAGTTATTTTTTTTAAACTAGAATAAAAAAATTATGTTTTAGTTGTTCATTGTTTAGTAATATCGTTGGCAAACATATCCATAGGCTCTTATCAGGTTTTCTGCTTATCTAACTAGTTTAAAAATAGTAACCAATAGAATTTTAACAAATCGTTCGTATGTTTTTGAATTACCACTTAAGATTAACAATTCGCTTTTTTTTAAATAAAAGTAATAAACCATTTTAAGAGTATATATATATATATATATATATATATATATATATATATATATATATATATATATATATATATATATATATATATATATATATATATATATATATATATTTATATATATATATTTATATAAATTTCAAAAAAACTTTGTTTCACATTAAATTTTAAATAAGGTATTTTCAATTGTGCATTTTTTTGCTATCCATCATGTAAAAAGTAGAATTTGTGTTTGTTAAATCTGAAACTGGCGTTTCACTTTACAGTGTTAGTGGTAATATACCCGCTGCAATACCTGTGCCTCCAACTCAGACAGTACCCGATATTAATCCTAATCCAAATGAAGGACTCAATCAAGCAGAACAACCGCAACAACCACCCGTTGGGGTGCCGCGTGTCCCAGCAGCCATGGCCGAGGACAATCACGACCGCGATTGGTTGGACATATTTTACATGTTAAGTCGGGCAATGGTACTGTTCAGCGTTGTATACTTCTATTCCAGTCCACTGCGTTTTGTTGCCGTTCTTTTCCTTGGTATAAGTTTGTATTTGTATCAAGTCGGCTTCTTCAGAAACATCAATAACAATAACAATAATATTAATGGACCACCAAATCCAGCACCTCAAGAAGAACAAGCACCCACACGATTCACAGTAGCGTGGACATTTTTTACAACATTCTTTGCATCACTCATTCCAGAAATACCAAATGCCATGTGAGATGTAACTACTGCGTGTGTGATGGTATAAAAGTTTATAGACATTAATTTACTCCTTTCTTGTTCCACAATAACAAAGTGGTTTTTTTGATATGGGAATTTTTGGTATTTTAATATACTTGAAAGTTTGTATTCAAAGCTTTATCGATAGAAAACTTGTTAGTACCTGATATGAGACAGTACCAACAAATAATACACAGCAGAAGTTCCACTATTTGGAATTGATATTAGTTTACAGTACTATAGGACGTGAGATTCATTCCCACTGGAGTGAAAGGGTTATTTTTCAAGTACTAAACAAACGAGGTTCTGTCACAGTTGATTTGAGTAATGAATTAAATGCCTGAAATGATTAAGTTTCCTGCCTTATTATCTTAACATGATATATTCAATGGGACCTTACACGCTGCATTATTTTGTTTCCAATAAGTAACCAAAGGTGGTGGCCCTAAAATTTTATCAAAATGTTAACCACTTGCATTTATTCCTATACTGGGGTTTATATTATTTGAACCATTCACTTTTGTTTTCATGTTTGGAACTTTTATCTCTTTGGTAAATTTTCATATTTGTTAATAGTCGTGATTAGATTTCTTGTTATTTTACTCACTCGTTGTATGTCCACATGGATGTGACTGTAGTTTCTCAGAATTTTCTTCCAGATCTGTATTAAAAGTATTTTTAGTATGTTTATTTAAAAAAAAATCTGTGTAGATTGTAGTGTGTATATATATTTTAAAACAGCTTTAAAAACAAATGTGATTTATCATGAAAAAATAAACACTTACATTAATAGAGAAAAATTGTTTTTTTTTTATCATTCAATAGTACTTTCTGTTTCTCTATGGGAGTCACTTGATCTGTATTGTTTATACAATCTGGGAACGAAGTTCTGAGCTGCCTGTATAATTTCAATTATTTATTAAATAACATCAAGATCTGTTTTTAAGAACAAACTGCCATAACCTTGCTTTTGTAAAATGCCCAGTGTACCTTTCTGTATACACTTTTGTTTTCTGTTACCAATATTCAAAATAAAATTTCATTTGATTTTAATTACTTCCTTTAATTAGGATATAACATTTGTCACTTTGTTTGCCTGAGTCTGCTCCTCAATAAACCTAAGCTTCGCAGAAAGAAAATCAATAGAAAATGACAAGTCATCAGCCTTGATTGAAAATGTATTTGGTTCAAATAAATCACTGATTTTTATTATTGGTTTTAAATATATTTTTATTTTTTTTTATTAATAAAATACACAAGTAATTCGAAAAAGAAAATTAGAAACTTTGTTAAAACAAGCATTTTTTTTATGAATCTGGATTAGAAAGAGGAGCAATTGTCTCATTTTCTTCACTGTGTAGTGTTACTACATCCGTGATACCTTCCTCACCAATTTCGTCATCTTCCCGGATTATTTCACTTTCATCAAAAATTAGATTATGACGTATTCGCTTGACATATGTCTAAAAAACAGAAATATAGATTGAGTACACACCAAGACTTTTATTAATTACTTGTGTGGCACGTTTGCTACCCAATTTTTCAAGTCTATTAATGCAGTCATCAAACGGAAATTTTGGAAACATTCTGTGACACCAATATTCATAGGTCTTCATTATTACATTTAAATCTTGTTCTTCATATTCTCGACCCTTAAACTTAACTCTCTCAAAACATTTTTCTATAGCACCAAGACCTTTTGCGGTTTTCAAGGTCTGTTCATTCAACTTTGGTTGTGGATTCTTTATAACTCTTTTAGGTTTCACAGATTTGGCATCCTCATTCTGACCTTCAGATTGAGCATCTGGATCTTCAATCTCTACCTCATTATATTGAATTACATCTTCAATTTCATTTTGCTCCCGTTCAGATTGTTCTATTATATCTCCTATCAAAGACTCTTCGTCGGACATTATCTAATAATAAACTAAAAAGAGGGCTATTTGTTAATAAGCCTCAATTCCCAAAAACTTATGCTCGGAATTTAAGGTTATGCTGTATAGCCATGTCTTTTTAATTATTTTGAAAATCATTTGTGTCTTCCACGGGCACGCTCTGATATTCTGTGGACTCAAAGGGAGCGGTCTGGTTAATTCTTAAAAGAAAGGATTGCAAAAGACGCTTATTTAATTTATCTGTTAAAGTAATTTCTCTTGCCACCTCGACCTGAGGCTCCGCTGTCACTCTTTCTTCGTCACTATTTGGTAAATCCTGCGGTACTGTTTCGATATTTTCAATAGGCATTTCTAAAAACTTTATCTAATATCTTTTTTAACTGTTCATACAAGTTTTATACGCACCTCAATGATAAACTTCAGACGAATAACCATAGAATAGGGGTAACAAATTGAATTGGTCCATTCGCCCATAAAGTAACATTTATCGCTAAAATAATTTTCTATCATCTTTTCGACATATTTTTCTCTTTTTTACTACTACTAGTAATAGGTACATGGTTGAAACGAGGTCAGAAATGGATCGCGCATGCGCAAATAGAATGTCGACCCTAAAAAGTTTGATTTTGTTTTAAAAGTTCCTTGCTTTATATGGCCTAGATAAATGAGTTCATATTCAATTTATATAGTACCTATATGGCTCAACGATTCTCATATATATGTTAATATAATAAAATACCAGATGATATACCAACATATGAAGATTTTAATATTCATTTTAAATTACATAACAAACAAAAACTAAGTTTAGTAACTATTTATTAGGTTAACTTTTGCATAATCGCAGCATTTAACAGTCCAGCAGCTTTAATAGTTAATGTTTCATCTAAAACTTTGGAAGGGTACGATGACATTAGGTTAAAAGGCTGCCTCTCATATTGAGGTCTGGCTGTTGTAATATAAGTTCTGATGGTCCCCACAGTATGTTCCTGGTTAAAATGTCCAATTAGACGCGATCCATCAGCTAAACGGATCTGCAAACTAAAAAAAATTGAATTTTATTAAAAAAATTCATTTCTGGAAGCCTACCTAGTAGTTGGCTTTGAGTTATCCAACTTGATAACTTCTTTGGCTCGTTCCTCATTCGCTGGTTTATTTTCATCACTGCATGCACCAACAACCACTGGAGCAGGACTTCCCAATGTATATCCATGTCCTTGAAATGGTTTGACTTTACCTTTCGGAGGTTGATAATTTTCCATTCTATGGTCTTCCATAGCCAAATGTATCTAGCATTTCATAACTTTTTTAGATTGGATATTATTGTCAAAAACATAAACAAGACTTCAATACAGCATACATTCGATATAAACCATTATGTCTTAGTAAAACAAAGGATATTTCAAATATTCTCATAAATACTAATAAATTGCTTTAAGTAACTCACAGTACTCCATTTTAATAATGATAGAAACTAAGAATATTACCTCAGTGTTTCCCTGCCTCAATTCATGTGGAATTTCTCCCCTCCTTATGCTGTCAAGAAAATCTTTATTAGCAGGATCTGTATATGACCGCAAATCATTATCATTGATGCTAAATCCATTTTGCCACAATCTTAAAGTCACCTCCTGTGGTTGTGGAGCTGTTTGTACCCCCGGAACTATTTCTGAGGTCGAGTCATCTTGGCCTAACTTATAACCAGTACCTCCAAATACACGTGCTGAACTAGAAGCTGCAGCACCTGGCTCCAAAATTTCAACACCGTGCCTGAAGCATAACAATAATAAAATGGGAGGTAATATAAATTACTTCAGACATTACCAAAGATACTTTATCTTCTTAATAAAAAAGCTCTTCATAATTATTTTATTTTTTAAAGTTGGATAAAATTATATTATAAATAAATAGCATTGTTAAAATTATGCATCTATGCAGTGCAATTAAAAGCAAAAATTATTAAAGTGCAAATGATGTACTATTAGGAAACTGTGAAAGGTTATGTAGTAGACTCCATATAGCAATAAAAGTTTTAGTTTAAAATAGAATGCCCATATGGGTTACTTACTCCTGCACAGATTTAAACATATCAGCAACAATATCATCCCGTTTCTTACGGGGAGGTCCCAACACTTGTTGGCCGCTATGTTCAGACCCACCAGCATAGTAAGCTTGTCCCTCTTCATCCTCATCACTAGATGTGGTTAAGGTATTAATAGTTGCAAAATTGGATGATTTCTTTGGCTTTGTTTTACTGTGGGGTGTTTCTAATTTGGGATGATCTGTTGAAAGTGGTAGGGTATTGTTTTCCACAAACTCTACATCTTCACCATCATTTTCGTAGTATCTGGCTATAGCCATCTAACACAGTAAAAAATGTGAAATTAACATGTATTATAATAGAATTCTCAATTTGGTTATTACCGAAAAAGCACAAATTTGTATACTAATTACTTAAATCTTATTTGAATTAAACACATTTTGAAAACAGCATCTTTCCAAAGCAGATGCATGATTTAGGTTTTGGGACAATAATATACCATTTTGTTAACAGATACTAAATTATAATGTAAAAATTAAATGTAAAAAATTCTAGACTTCTATACTTCTAGAACCTATAAGTAAAGATAAATTGAAATTTTGAACTGCTTTATTTTAGATTTCATTAATTTTGGGGACGGTCATTTATTTCCATCCTCAACTGCGGTTAAAAACTTACTCGCTATGCATAACACCACGTAGTATGAAGTGTCTAAAACAAATTACCATAAAAAAGAACAAATGATAAAATAAACGGCCAAGTTTGCCTTTCTCCAAACATTTTTCATGTAATGTATTTCAGCAGTAATAGCACACCTCGTTATTGCTAAAATAATCGATTTTCTAGCTTTTGTTTTCCTGCTTTAAAAGACAGAACCACCAAGAATATTTAAAAATGTTATTCATTAAAAAATAAACGCATATCAATTTGTACCTCCACATCCCAAGCAGCAGATTCCAGGAAAAAGTTAGCCCTATCAGAACTGGCACCTGTAATAGCAGCAAATTGTTGTAATTTTTCTTCTTTTTCCGACATCGCCTTTGTATTTCTTGTTTAACGATTCAAGGTTCGACAACAAATGAAACTGTCAACTCAGGATGAAACGCATAGTTTAAAAAAATATATTCGGATAATTGGTAACGGTAAAGACAAAATATAACTGACAATAAATATAATTAATAATTTTAGTACGATTGCAGAATTGAATTCAAAATTGTGTGACAGTCCACTTTTAACTACAAACATAAAATAATAAATGTTAAAAAATAATATATTTCGATAATGGTCTCTGTAACTATATTCTCTGTTTTTACAAATCTGCAATTCCTGTAGTTCACATGTGCAATAGTGCAAAGATGCTTTTATTTTAACCTAAAACTTTTATTTAATGTTTAATGTTTTAATAGAATTTTTTAATCTATGGCTCGCTATATAAAATATTTAACGCTTTTTAACTGTTTAAATGTAACAAATCAAAAAAAACAAATAGGTTCCTACAGGTAAATGGAAATGCAAAAAATTAAATTGTTTTAGATTTATTATTTTATGTTCTCGATTTCAGTTCCATTCGCCTGTTATTGCAGTTCTGTCAAGTTCGAGCTTTTATTAGTAGCAGAACAAAATGCTTTCATACCAGTATAACAGCATTTAAAAGGCGACAAGCTGCAGAAGAGAAGGTAAAAATAATACAATAGGCAGGTGGTTTCTCAGTTTACTAACATTCCAGAAAGCGCCAAAAGTAATTGAATATAAACCTCAACCAAAATGGGAAGTAGTGGATATATGGAAAGGTATAACTTTAAAGGAAATAGCATCAGTATTAAACAAAGATTTTGCATATGTTCAGAAACTCTTTATGAATGAAATTAAATATCCAAATTTTCCCGTAAATGACACTGCTATTTTACAAAATGCATTGAAACGAGCTGGCAAGAGAATGCGCTTGATTGCAAAGCCAACTGACCAGGCAGAGGAAAAAATTGTGAAAGATATTGCTGCTAGGCCTCCACCAACAAAAGAAATGTTAAGACCTCGACCACCAGTTGTAACAGTGATGGGACATGTAGATCATGGGAAAACAACACTTCTTGATGCTCTAAGACATTCTAGTGTTGTAGATCAGGAATTTGGTGGTATTACTCAACACATTGGTGCCTTTTCTGTTGTGTTAGATTCAGGTTCTAGAATAACATTTTTGGATACTCCTGGACATGCTGCTTTTACTTCAATGCGAGCTAGAGGGGCAAATGTTACCGATATTGTTGTTTTGGTAGTAGCTGCTGATGATGGTGTTATGGAACAAACAATAGAATCAATTAATATGGCACAAAGGGCAAAAGGTGAATAATTTGATAATGGAAGTAATAAAAAGAAAGATTATTTTATTGTATTAATTCAAACTAAATTTTAACATGATTAATCTTAGTACCTATATTGGTGGCAATTAACAAAATCGATGCCCCAAAGGCAAATGTGGAGAGAGCAGAAAAAATGTTATTGGAGCAGGGAATTCAAGTGGAACGACTTGGAGGAGATACTCAAGCAGTTCCCATCTCAGCTTTAAAAAGGCAAAATTTAGATAAATTAACTGAGGCTCTAATTTTACAAGCAGAATTACTTGAAGTAGGTGGTGATCCTACAGGTCCTGTTGAAGCAGTTGTTGTTGAAAGTATTGTCCATCATCAGAGAGGGAAATTATGTACTGCTGTAATACAAAGGGGTATGTCTATTTTTTTTTTAATTAAAATATGTTTTAATTGTCTTAGAATTTTTTTTAGCAATCTTTAAAAATGTTCTCTACTACTGTCAAATGTTTATTAGTTTATTTAGTAATTTTACATATTTTGGTTCATGTAGATATATATTTAAGTAAAAGCCATTGCTTAAATAATGCAGTTGCCAAACAAAATAAACTATAAATTGCATTTCATTATTTATTGTTGATGTTAACATTTTCTTATCTAGAATTTTCATTAAAAAGGTACTCTTAAGAGGGGCAACATATTAGTTGCTGGGACAGCTTTCGCAAGAGTGAGACTATTGAGAGATGCTAGTGGTCAAGTTTTACAAAGTGTGACTCCAGGAAACCCCGTGGAAATCGAAGGTTGGAGAGATTTACCTCCAGCTGGAGAGTTGATTTTGGAGGTTGAAAATGAGGGACTTGCAAAAGATGTTATAAAGGTAGCGATTGTATAAATAGTTTTGCTTTGTTTAAAAGTATGATTACAGTTCAGAGAAAAGCTATTAGAACAGAAAAAACTTGAGGAAGATGAAAAAATAATTAAACAAAAGCGAGAAGAGCACGATCTTGCTTATAGAGAACAATTGGAAAAGAAAAGGAAATTGGGGAGAAGACGTCTTAAGAGGGAAGGACCCCGACAACCTGAATTCATTAAAGGTAATGTTTAAACTCTTAATAACTTGAGTTAATAATTAATTAATTAGTTACATCAAGTCAATAAGGAAATATCTAACAATGAATCAAATAAATAGAAAATCAAATTGGTGTAAAGATTTTGAAAAACTCAATTACATGAGTTTATAAAAAAAAAGTAAAAAGGTATTCAAGGTACCAGGTACCCCCTTGCAGGAACGCTGAATATTAGTAATTATGTAATTGCAATTTGGGTATTTGAAGTAATGAATGGTTATTATCAGAAACCAATGAAGCATAAATAACATTTCAAGAATTCTATACTTTATAGCTATGGTGTTAAAGATAATCCAACAACTTTCAAAAGTTCATTATCAAAAAAGGAATAAAACAAGTCTTAAATGGTATTTTTCAAATCAAATTAAATAATTGGGCGAAAACGTCTGTTTCAGTGATCAGTGAAAGCCTTTGGATGCTATTTTTTTTGTTCTTTTTTTTCTAATTTTATAAAAAATTGAATAAACTTATTAATATATATTTTTATTTTTTCTGCTTTACTTATGTTTCTCTACGTATTGCAGAAAATGGGCCACCATCCCTAAATATTATTGTCAAATCTGATGTGGATGGCACCTTAGAAGCCATATTAGAAATTCTGGACACTTATGAATCTGATGAATGCAAACTGGATATCGTTCATTACGGTGTAGGTGCAATATCCCAAAATGAACTCGAACTGGCCCAGACTTTTAATTGTATTATATACGCATTCAATGTTGATATAAATGACAATATAAAAAACCTTGGCAAAGAGTTGGACATAGAGATTAGGCATTTCAATGTGATTTATAAATTAATTGACGATTTTAAAAGAGAAATAAACAGTAGACTGCCGGAGAAAGAGGTTGAGGAAGTTGTTGGAAAGGCAGAGGTGCTACAGCAGATCGAAATAAACGAGCGCAGAAAAAAGGTTCCTATTGCGGGGTGCATTTGCATTGAGGGAATATTAAAAAAAAGTGCTAGATTCAGGTTAGAACGAAATGGTTGCGTTGTATATGAGGGTAAGAAATATTCCGTTTTGCATTGATTTTAAACGTGACTGACTAAATATTATATATATATATATATATATATATATATATATATATATATATATATATATATATATATATATATATGTATATATATATATATGTTCCATCTTTTTATGCACGATATGATCGTAATTTAAAAACATTTGATTAATAATGGCTATACAAAAACACAAAAACGCTTTAAAATTAAACACTTTGAAAATTGGTTTAGCATTGCTTTTATTCGCTAGTTTTGAAGTTTTAAATTGCCTCAATTATTTATCTAAGGAACCTATTTCTTTTAGGGCCGCTTTCTTCCATGCGACACCTAAAGGATGAAGTTGCAGTTATAAAATCCGATACAGAATGTGGCATTAGGTTAGCTGACACAACCGTAACTTTTGAAAAAGGCGATATTTTGATATGTTTTGAGAGCAAAATGGTACCGCAAGAAACCGATTGGGATCCGGGATTTTAATAATATAGTTTTTGCGGACTAAATTTGTTTTTGCTTTTGTTCACTCTTGATCCGCAAATTAATTGTAATATAATAAGTCTGACCACAATTGAGGCAAGTTGGATATGATTTGGCAGGTAACATTTATATATTTTTTGATGGAGTTGTTTAACACGCCAAAGAGTATGTGGATAAACTTTTTCTTAGAAAAAATGCCACTCGGTAATTGGAAAATGAAGCGATAAAATCAACAAATAATTTATTATAAGTTAAATAAGTGAAGTAATTTCTTTAACAAATAAATATACTTACTAATACAAAACATATATAATAAAAAACAAATTCTAATAAATTTGTAAAATCATATTTTAACCACTTCCCTTTATAAAATAAAACCTAACCCGAGGATAATATACAAGCTAGGAACTTTTTAAACTTTCAATTAGCAATGTCATAAGTGTTGAAAATCTACTTCTAATCTGACTTATGGTTTTGTTTGGCAATTTGTCACAGATTATTTGCAGCGCATAGTCTTTATCATCTTCCCTTTGGAATGTCTCTAATATAATGGTGTCCTCTTCTCTTCCCCATAGTGGCTCATCATTTGTATTACTATCACTCTGGGATTGATTATTACTAGCCATTGATGAACAAGAACTGTCTGATTCATAGTTGTCCTGTGATGATTCCTCGCAAAATTCTGCAAATAAGCAAAACTATGCGAACTATGGGTAATGTAAAAGATGATTACTTAAGCTTTTGGGAAAGACCCCAAGTGTGGTTACATTAATTATTTTCCTTCAGCGAAGTTTTAGGACAATGAATAAAAATCAAAACCTAGGAGTAAGACTAACCCTTCCTTATTAAAATATATAACTTATTAAAAATATAACTTTGTTAATCTCTGTTTATGAATTTTAAAATAATAGATAAATTCTCACACTTAGGTTTTAGAAAAAATAACGCAGAGAACTCACCACTTTCTGATTCAGTAGTGAGTCGCATAGGTGTAAGTGACTTTTCTGTGAGCTGTTTATTACAATCAACAACTAATGAATATGATGTTCCGGATTCATGTCTAACAAACTCCAGTTCTCTAACTGTTTGTTTAATTTCAGTTTCAACAGGTTCAAGATTCTTCACTTCAACTGATTCCTCGCGCAGTTTAACCACAGTTTTATCTTCACTTGTCAAACGCAAATCTTTATCTGCGTTGTCTATCAAGTTCTCAGATTTTTTAGAAGTTTTTTTTGTCTCCCTTTTTCCTTTTTTTACAGAATTTGATCTTCTTCGAAGGTTGGGATTTTTGGGAATTTCTGATGTATCGCAACCTTTGCTGAGAGACTTCTTTGAGGAGGTAACTTTTTGGATCCCGCTTTGAGTGTCAGACACTTTTATCCTTTTCCTTGATGGTTTTGACCGATTCTTTATTCTTCTTTTTCCTACTTCTTCATCCTCTGTATCCTGTGCTCGTTACATTTCAATTTTTTGAAAGCAGCTTATGAAACACTTACCTCATCCAAATTTTCTTTCCCGCTCGAACCAGTATTTTTATTTGGACTAGAATCTGCACGTCTTTTTCTTCGATTCGGTGTTACGGTCGCAGGTTGTTTACCCATTAGCCGTGCAACATGATTTGCTTTTGGGTTCGTTTTAAAAGTGATACATGCCGGCTGCATACCTCGACCAGTTTGAATGAATACTTTTCCCTGAACAAACTGTTGTGAAAAGAGATGACGCGTCATAAAAAAAAAATTCAGCTACTTGTTGTGGACAGTAGGATATATTCTCGACCATGTTCACGCCTTCACTGCACCCCCCATTGACCAAGCTCACCTTACGCCCCGCCCCCACTCGAATCCAAACCAGTAAACCCTTCCGCTCCTCAAAAGTGAACCCCCTAACTCTGACTCTCACTCCGCGTTTTTCACCCCACTTAGAGACGGACGACAATTCTTGATTATTATTATAAACACATTGAACTAACCGAAACATAGTTGTGTGTGAAATAGAAAAAAAAAGCATCATTAATAAATACCCCCAAATAGTGTTTAAAATAGGTAAATTGAAATAGAATAAACATGCATATTATATTAATTAATAATTAATAAAGTTAAATGCATAGGGTAAAACCAATGTTTTATTAATATCCTTTCCTCCTTTCTTGCATATAGGTTTTATTGAATAGTAATGCACATAACAATTTTCTTATTATTTTCAGATCTCAACTTTACTAAAACGTAGCGGTCTTATTCAACAATCATTAATTTACAAAATAATTGTTTTATTGATTATTTTGGAAAGTATTATGATATATTACTTTTGGTTAGTTGAACGTGTATATAATAATCATTGGTAACTTTGGAAAAGTTTGAGGTGAGTTGGAAGTTCATTGATTCCAGGGGTGAAGAATGAAGGGTTTACTGATTGTGATTCAGGTGGGGTAATTTTGGTCAGGGGGGGGTTTAGTGACATTGTCTGGAAACCGCAAATCTACCTTACTTTAGACAATATGACTTACCCTTAGACCACAGGATATACAATGCTTGTATCTACACTTATATTCATTATCTTCAATTTTGTGACAATGACAGTCACATGATATCCCCCCATATTTTTCTTCTGTATTAGGAACCACTATTTTTTCATATAATTCCTCATCATCTCCGCGTGTAAGTTCTTTGTTAATGTTTATGGTTTCATAAGGCCCTTGTAATAAACTACAACCAAAATTCTAAAAGTAATTCTTTTTGGAGGTAAAAAAAATACTGAAATAAATTTTAAAATTAAATTAACAACCACATTATTTTATATTATAATATAATCTTTTACCAACAAGGTAGCATTAAAACAGTGAAATATAAATGTAAAATTAAAATCATTTGAGATGGTGATTGAAGAGATTGTAGAAGAGAGATAAAGCAGAAAATGAGTCAAATATTTGTAAATTTTATTGTATTTTGTGTCCTGCCTTCGAAGAGTCAAACATAAAACAATTTTCCAAAATGTTGTTTTCCCTTTATTACATAAGATCCTTATGATGTGCCTTCTTATCTTCAATATATACAAGGATACACAAACCTCTCTTCATGTCCTAATAGTCCTTTTAATAACAATATAATGGATTATAAAAAAACACACCTATCAGGTTTTTACTTTTCTTACCTTGCAGGAGGTCGTTCCTCTACAAAATTCTGAAGAAATAAATCTGTCAAAATCCCATTACCTTTTAGCAAAGGCAATAGACTACGTTTGATTGTCTCCATGTCTAAATTTTCACTTTCACTTAACTCAGTTAACATATTGTAAATCTTCTTTAACTGAGCGGGTTGCTCTTTAAAGTAAATTTCTAATTTTCTCAAAAATTTCACCCTCGTTGTTACTGTAAACCATGGTATCAATTGGCCTACCAATGCCGCTTCTTTCTCCTTTAGAAAGAGTAAAAATTCTTCTGCCAGCTCCATATATTTTGGTTGCAATATAGGCTCAACTTTACGATACAAATCAACGGCATCCCCATTTTTAAATTCATTTAAAATCTGCAAGATTTTGTGGTAATCTTCAAGATCCAAAGTTTCTCTTAATTTGTCATAGTACGCGATGGCAAACACTAAAAAGTAATAAACCTATAGTTACTTTTTATACCTTTTTTCTTTAATATTTTTAAATTAATAGTAACAAAGTCATGTAATATGATATTTACTCACATTCATCTTTATTTTTTACACTTTGAGGATCTTCAGGAGTTGCTATTGATAAATTAGCTAGGAATTCACGTTGGATCCTAGCTTTTTTTTTTTCTGCACCCGAGGGCTCTTTCCTTGGAATAGGTTTTGGGGTAGAGCAAGCTATAGAAGTGTCCTGAAAGTCAACATGGAAATAAATTAAGACTCTTTAATTGTATTAATATCGGGCATATATCAAAACATTTTCTATTTACTAACTTGAAATATGTGGGAAAATATTCTGCAAAGGAAATACTGAATCTTTATAATGCCAATTAATATTTTGTTCCAGGGTTTTTTGCGTTTTAAGAAATTTGTCCTTTTTACTCTATTTACTTGGAATGTCAAGAAAAGAACAAACCCATTTTTCAACAAATTTCAAGATTTTTACCTTTTCGCTAACCAAATCTTTTACTGCTAGACCATGACTAGGAAGATTAGAATTCGTACTTTGTGAAGTCTGACTTATCTGAAAGTTGCTTGAAGATGTACTAAATTCAACTTCAGTGCTTGAATCATCCTGATGAAAGCTGATATTTGAAAAGTCCAATGGCCTTATTTTCTTAGTTTTAAGGGATTCAGTATTTGGTAGGTTAAATGTCGAAGAAACACATCCATCTTGCAATGCACTTTGTGGTTCACCAAGTTTACTTGCAGGAGTGCTTAAAAGGGGCATATTTTGCAAAGGCTTCAAATCATTAGCCAAATCAGGTAAATGTTCTCTATCCCCCGAGATTTGTGCAAAAAAATGAACTAATTTTCTCACATTAATTGGAACCACTAAGATGATTGTAATTTTTTCTATACTAGTGATGCAGTTTTTTAGCTTAGAATAATTCTGGAGTTTTTTAGAAATCAATTTATTGTTCCGACTGGTTCTTGTGGAAGTTTTGTTGTTTCGGAGAATGGTGCCATTAATGACTGATCTAGCTGGACAATTGGCGACATCTAGGGTATTATTGACCAAAATAAGATGCGGCAACCAACAGCTCCAAAATTTTCTTGCCGAGGAATCCTAAAAAGAAATACTATACCAGAAAAAATCACAACAAAACCTACACAATGCGCAAAAACTCGTCTATGCTACCTTCGTTTATTTTTGTGTAATCCTGCCGGTTGGAGAAATATAAAGTCTTGCTTTTGTTCAAAAATAAATACGTTTTATAACCAAGATTTTTTTTATCTATGATAAATTGTTCTATTAACGCAGAAAAACAAAGTACTAAACACAAAGTATCAATTTTGGCCAGGGTTAGAGACTATTGCAATCACTATAAAACGAAGAAGAACATATACATTTGACAGATAATAATCAATTCAAATTGTTAGGTTGGTTTAGTTTATGTTAAGTAAAAATATTATAAAATGGAGGAAATAAACGTTGAAGAAATGGATTTATATGAAATATTAGACATATCCCCCGGTGCAGAAAATGTCGATATAAAAAAGGCTTACAGGAAAAAAGCATTACAGTGCCATCCAGATAAAAATCCTAATGACCCTGGTGCTGCTAAAAAGTTTCATCAGTTATCTAAAATATTGGAAATTTTAACTGATCAAGGGGCTCGCGCGGCATATGATAAAGTTCTAAAAGGGAGAAAAGAAGCTGCCGTACGACATAAAGAACTAGATGGTAAGAGACGAAAGCTCAAAGAGGATCTAGAGGCAAGAGAGAGACAAGCTCAAAAAAAAGTATTTGATGCAAAAACAGCAGATCAAAAGTTAAAAGAAGAAATTGAGAGACTCAGGAAAGAAGGTTCAAGGGAAGTAGAAGAAGAAATTCTTAATGTTCTAAATACTATTAATGAAGAATGTAATGCAAAAAAATGTGATGGTTCTAATCACAGAGTTAAAATTAAATGGTCAGCTCTTAAAAGTGATACAAATAATGGAGGATACACACAAGAAATGTTGCATAGATTTCTGTCCAAGTATGGAGATATTCAAGGATTAGTTGTTTCTTCTAAAAGAAATGGAAGTGCCCTGGTTGAGTTTAGAGATAAAAATGCTGCTCAAATGGCAGTTGATTTTGAACTGGGATTGTCACAAAATCCCCTTAAGCTTGAGTGGGTCAACTTACCGCCAACGAGCAAGTCAAGCAATTTGGTAAAAGACTCTGATTTTGAAAGTGTAACATTAATGAAATTGAGGCAAGCAGAAGAAAGAAAGAGACTAATAGCGCAAATGATGGAGGCAGACAGGGAAAGCTAAGAATTTAAAAAACTAGAAATGAACAAGAACAATTTGTTAATAGTGTAGTTTTCATTACTGAGACACAGTACTTTACCTAGATGTTGGAGGTTAAAAGCTAGATAGCCTTATATTTAATCTGTTTTTAATAAAAGTTTTTTAAATGACTATTTTATAAAATTGTAATTGTAATTTGCAATTATTTTTTGGAAGGGACTTCCAAATAAAAAAAAAAACTTACTATTTCACATTTTTGTTTTCGACCATTGTGTTCCCCCTTTAAAAAAATTCTCCACTGCAATGGCATCTCATCGGGGTTTCGCATGTACAGGGGCAAAATTTGATGCAATGGATAAATATAGTGAACCGGGGATATAACTTTTTTGTACAAGAAATATGTTCTTATGGGATTGTTAGCATTTCTTGGACATTTGCTTTGCATAATATGTTTCAATATTGTCACTTCATTACGATGTGGCATCATATATTCACGAATGTATGAAACCAAGGTTTTGATAGGAATTTGTCCATTTTTATTGATCAGTTTTTTGCACTGACTTTTTAATAATGCACTAAATTGCTCCAAACCCATAACAATCAATCTAAAAAAAATATGATTAAATATATCATCAACCTAAATCCAAATAGAACTCACTCATCTTCTGAATTTGTAAATCCTTTTTCAATAAATTGTAACGATTTGAAAGGAATTTTTGGCAGTAGAAAGGGATAAAGGAATACTTCACTATTTAAAATGGTCTGCACAATTAACTTAGGAAAAGAACTAACATAATGATAATTGCCAGCCGATTTGTAATTTAGTGATTTTGAAAGTTCAACTCGTACATGACTGAAATACATCAAATTTAATTAGACAACAGTAGTAAATCAGGAGTAAGGCAGCTTACGCTTTCGCTTGTTTTACTTCATTTCCGTTAGAAGCAAACAGTTCCACCCAGTACTCGATTAACTTTAAAGCAGGCTCTAAGTTCACCGGCCTGAATAGGGAAAATGATTTCCCATCGCTTAGGAATTTTAAACTTAACTGAAATATTGGGTAAATTAAAGTGTTGTTATTAAAAAAGCTTAATTTCAAAATATATAGATAATAATGATAACATACGAGATACTCCTTTAATTGGGCACAGTTTTCATGAAGTTCAGGATGATCATACATAAGGAGAAAATTTTGCGTCAGAATTTGCACATGCTGACGCATTTGCTGTTCTATAATACAGAGCTGTTCGTGAGTAACAACTATTTCAAAGTTGTTTCTTGCCTCCAAAACAGAACTTTCCTAAAGTATTGCAAAATTGAAATTTTAGAGTCCTATGGCAATTTTGAAATATCGAGGCTGCACATTAAAACCGCATAATAAGAAAAATTTCATTGCATGTTTACCAATTACTTTGGGAGTATTTAAAAATATTTCACAATACACAGAGTGCATTCAAGTCAAATTCTTTATTTTTAATGCAATAGATGTTCTGCAAATATCAAAATGGTAATGAATATTGCATTGACTAATTTTTTGTATGAACATGAAATATTACACAAGTGCACCCAAAGAAGTTAGTAAACAGAAGCAGTGGCACCGTTAAATTATTGTTATCAATTGATACAAACTTAATTGACAGTAAATCGGCAATTATATAGAATATAACAAATGAAATGAATTTTTATTAGGTCTCATATTAATTATTTTTGTTTGATAATCATTTAACTCTCTAATATTCACTAATTTAATAATATTTAATATCTGTGACAATAAAATCATACTCACATCTCTATAACACTCAAAATTTTGGTTAGCCTCATTATCTTTGATAATTCCACTAATAACTTTTTGCTCAGAGATAGTTTGCTGGGATATCTCACTAGGTATATTTTGTTTAAAACTGTCAATTTCCAACTCCACTTTTACCTGAGAAAATACAGGTGTGGTCTCCTAGAATTTACCCATTGTTTTGTTTTAACAAGCAATAATATAACATTTATTGTAATTATACTCAAAAAAAAATTAGCCAAAGAACATTTTGGTAGTAGTTAAAAATAATTTCCTTGTGGCTCAGTTAAAAAAGTAAGTTACTTGTGTAGTGTTTTGCCCAGTTTCACCAATTTCTTCAGATATGTTTTGAATGTATTCAAACAGTTCCTCCCATAATTCCTTTATTTCTTTCTTTGAAATCTTTACTGCCCTATCTTCTCTGAATTCTTCTCGTTCAATGTTATCAATTTCATCATCTGCCAAAATATTATACTCTGGATCCTGTTCCTCATCTTCTGTTGGTTTTGCTATTTCATCCAAAGGTTCTGTAAAACCCTATACACAAAAATGTATTCAATAAATGTTACATTGCTTTAGTTGTATTTCAACACCTTTAAAAATTCTTTCCAGTCATCATCATCACAGTCCATGTCATACATATCTGTAGTAATATCGGGAGGAATGAAGGATTTTTCAATGACCTCCAAAGGAGTTGAGCTTAAATTTATTTTAGATCTTGTTCTCAGTGCTATATTTGCCGTTTCTGCCTCGTCAGTTACAGTTTTTGATTTAGGTACTTTGAAAACCCCATCACCTGACCAGTGTGTAGTTTGAGTGGAGCTATCTTCCATGGACACAACAGCAGGAGGTGTTGGAGGAGGTAAGGAACTTGTATCCAATTCACTGGCAATAGAATCATCCCGATCTTCTTCACTCTAAAATATGCAATTGAAAACTGTTTAGCTTAGGAATTGGGATAAAGGATGTAAAATATTTTTGTTTAAATTCAACAGACAGCCTTTAAATTCAGTTGGGTCCCAACATATATTGACAAACAAGCCTTACTTCTTCTTCTCCTGGAATATATTCATCTCCTGAAGAATCATCTTGTAAATCATCGGCTACCAAAACATGAGTTTCAGATGGCGCTGGTTGAGGAACCCATGGAACTGGTGCAGCAGTGGTCGAACAAAGTAGTTGTCTGATAAACAAAGCAAGATTCGTAATAATGCTCATGTCAACAATTTAAGAAACATACTTGGCTTTTGCTCGTGTTAATTTGGGTTCATAAAAACAATCAAACTTTTTATCCTTATTCAGTAATGCCATAACATGCTCATTTGTAAGAACCTGTCTAATTATAGTTTTCACATTGGTTACAGTTAAATTGGTTTTTTCTGCCTTTTCATTGAGCTTTTTGCCAATTTCGTCTTCAATAGTTTCAATAAGCTGAAAGTCGTTATTTTGAGAAACACCTTGATTGATATCTAAGTCAATTTCCAAGTTATTGTCCGAATTATCGTCCTCGGATTCATTATTTATTATGGTTTTAGAGAGTTTATTACAATCCATTTTTTATGTTATTTAATGTACTTCGATAAAATATATGCATCCTGCATACAGCTGAAACATATTTGCATTCTTTTACAACAAATTATTAAAATTTCCACTATGTTTTCTAATACAAAAATATAATTGTTTATATGAAGTAGAATAAGTAAACCGTTCGTTTCCATTCTGTGGGTGGCATTGTAAGAGACAGGTCGATTCTGCCCACAGAATCCAAGTTTTTTAACATATAAAAAAATAGCGTATTTTGAAAGAAGCGGTGTTTTTTATGGTATCGGTTAAAAATATTCACGAATCATTAACCTCATTTGTATTAAAGTTAGAACATAATTGTAAGCTGGGCGAATTGCGTTGTATTGCTTTGGCCAAATAAAGTGTAGATGAACAAGAACAACCCTTAACTATCCCTTTTAATCCCTTATCCAGGTGGCCAGTATGAATGGAGGAATATGATGATTCTGTGAGAAGCATTTTACGTGACGAGTTGCAAGAATCGTAAAATTATTGTTGGCAAGTGGTCGCTAGTGACGTAAGCGAAGTCCTCTAACGGTTTTTGTGTATTCGGTCAATCCATTTGAAGGTGTATTAAACCGTTGTATTTTGTGTTCTCTGAACCTGTGGTGGAGCATTGCACGCGGCGGTTTAACCTCCGTTCGCTCCCGACAGAATCCCTTGTATTCGTCCCCAAAAGTTTCATATCGGTTTCCACTGTGTGGATTTAGTGATTTGAGTGTTCAGTGTATGTTTTAAAGTGGTAATCGTCGTCGGCCCCTATTGTTTTTCCTTGTTCACGCCTTTTTCACCCTGGATGTATGGATTTTGTTGCACGACTTGTGGTTAGATTCCTTGATGCATGTGGCATCTGCTTAACCGCTTTTGGATTTGCTAGCTCATGGTCTTTGGGTTTGTTTTAATCATTATGTATAACAGCTAGAACTTCAAAGAATTCCTTCGCTGGAGAAGATCCGAAAATCCTCGACATTTGGAACTTCACAGATCAGTCTCCTTCGCTAAAGAAAATCTGAAAAACTTCAACATTTAGAACTTCAAAGTTTAGTCTCCTTCGCTGGAGAAGATCCGAAAATCCTCGACATTTGGAACTTCAAAAATCAGTCTCCTTTGCTAGAGAAGATCCGAAAATCCTCGACATTTAGAACTTTAAAATTTAGTCTCCTTCTCTGGAGAATACCGAAGATCCTCGACGGAAGTCAGCAATGGGCGAATGATCCTGGTAGACGAGCCCAATAGTTTTCTGTAAAACGCATAATTGAATTGAATTGTGTTCTCTGAACAATTAAAATAATTTCTGTGGTGGAGTATTGCACGCGGCGGTTTAACCTCCGTTCGCTCCCGACAGAATCCCTTGTATTCGTCCTCAAAAGTTTGATATCGGTTTCCACTGTGTGGACTTAGTGTTTTTAGTGTTCAGTGCATGTTTTAAAGTGATAATCGTCGTCGGCCCCGTCGTTTTTCCCTGTTCACGCCGGTATGGAGGCCGGATGGGCCCGGATGGTCCTCGGTGTAAGCGGGGGGAAGCCGATTTTTTTGGTATCGGTCAGAATCGTTTTTTGCTAGCTGAGCAAATTATTGGTTATTTTTCTTCTTTGCACGTGGTGGTCATTGACCAGAAGCGAAAATCCTCGACGGAAGTCGGCAATGGGCGAATGATCCTAGCAGTCGAGCCCAACATTTTTTTTTTGTGAAACGCATAATTGAATTGAATTAAAATAATTTAAACTAGTGAGTAGTGCGCTTATGTTTGTATTAATTGTATTTCTGTAAAAATAACTTGGACAAAACAATGTTTTTAAGCTTTAACAAATACTTTAAAATTGTATGTGCTTGAGTGGCGAGAACTGAGAAAAACAGTATTTTTATCATTAACAATATTTTATTGGTTTAAAACTAGTGGCTAAATTTTCTATGAACAAACCTTCTAGCTTTAACACCATGAACCTCAACAAAAAAAAAACTTTCGGTGTTTTGTTGGTAAGATGTCATCCACGAAAAGTTCATTATCAGATTGACCATTTAAAAAATCGGATTCGGTCATTTTCCAAACTTCCTTTTGGAAACCAAACACATGATAGCAAACGCAAGCGACAGGATAAAGACTATAATTAAAATTTAATTCACCAAAAAAACGCATTGTCGTTCTCTATTGGCTTCTCTATACTTCCGTCCGATTGGTGTGTAGTCTAACGGGCGAACTGACGCCACAACCGATCACAGCCAATGACAGCGCGTTTCAAAGAGGCTTTAAATTTTACAATTTTTAATTGCTTATCTTTGTTACGAAATTTGTTTTTCTTTTAATAGGATAAACCAAGAATCGTAAACCTAATAGGATTGCCCAATCCCATAAGACATACGTTCGCCAAAATTATCGATCGCACGTGGTCGCTTGTGACGTAAGCGAAGTCCTCTAATGGTTCTTGTGTATTCTGTCAATGCGTTTGAAGGCGTATTAAACCGTTGTATTTCGTGTTCTTTGAACAATTAAAGAATTTAAACTAGTGAGTAGTGCGCTTATGTTTGTGTTAGTTGTATTTCTGTAAAAAAAACTTCGACAAAACAGTGTTTTTAAGCTTTAACAAATACTTTAAAATTGTATGCGCTTGAGTGGCGAGAACTGAGAGAAACAGTATTATTAACATTAAATAAAGACTTAAAAGTTTTGTGTTCGTGCTGCTTATTAGCGGTGTTATTAGTTAGGAGGTAAGCTCAAAATATTACACGTAATAATATAGGTAAAGCAAAAAAATACATTTCTTTTACCTTTATCATATGGGGGCCTTATAAAGCCTTCTGATCATTTTTTGAAATAAAAAATAAAAAATGGAACTTTTATTTTGAATCTCATCATGGTGATTCGTTTCGAAAAAGGTAAGGAATGGTAAAAAAAACTTAGCAAAAAGAATATTAAAAACAGAAAAAGAATTACCATTTAGTTTAGTTAAAGATTTTTGTAAGCTGAGAACCATAATTCATATGAACTTCAGAAATTTAAAAGCAAAATATAACGTTAGTCTAAAAAGAAAATCTTTGCAAGATGATACCCGCAGAAAAAAAATTAAAAACTATGGTAAAATTGTAAAATAAAAATTTAAGTATATGTAGTAATGTGTATATTTTAAATTATGTACATACAAGGGTATATATAATATATAATAATAGATATATATATATATATATATATATATATATATATATATATATATATATATATATATATATATATATATATATATATATAATATACATATTATTATTTACCTACCACCTATAAATAGTTGTTATTTATGCCTATATATTTTTTGTTTTTTAATATGTTCTTTAATATATCCAAAAATAGGGATTTTTAGTTTATAAGTATTTGTTGATTTTTGTATAATTAAAATGGTAGAATGGCGTAAAACACAAAGTTTTACAAGTAAATCGTTGTGTTCGCTAGTTTTATGTATTTATGTGTAATAATATGTAAAATCCTCAGTTAAAGTGGCATCCGGGACAAAGTGAACTCCGATATACGGATGCCAACTTGAATTTTTAAAATAATGTCGGCATTACACTTATTTGAGCACCACCTATTCAAAAACACTTAAAACTCGCGGACGTCAATTTTCACGTTAGCTGGATAAAATTATACGAGGTGGTTCAACGAGATTCCGCTTGTGTCTCTAGCATCGATTTCTGTGCCTGTATATTGGTTATATATTTAGCGGTGGCACTGACTTCCCCAATTTATGTATATATGGTGATATTGTCAATGGTTACTTTGACTTCCATAATTTACCGTGTATATTGGAAATATGTCGTCGGATTATATTGGCTTCCCCATGCGATATAGTTTTATTTTTAGTGGCCACATTGCTATCCCTTAAACCTAACCTTTCTGAATATTTTCATTACCTATAAAAATTTGTGTCGGTGTAACTTAACAATGAATCGTAGAAGTAAACGTATCTTGGATCTAGCTCGAGACAAGAGCCTAGCAGATAGGAATTTTGACAATTATTGTATTAGCTTTATATTTTCTCAGGTATGTATAATAAGCAACACAATATTGTTAGATTACGTTCGAATATTTAAATATTGGCGCGATCTATCGATTTCGGATGCGTCGGGAAATCTTCGGGTCTATTCGCGCGCGTGAGCCGGGACGCCGCAGAGGGTGGCGACGGGCATCAGTTGATGCCCTGCTCTGGCATGCACCGCTCGACATTGACGCCAAGATCGGAAAAGTCGTCTTTAAAACAATCTCGATTTATTTAAATCTAACATCAGGTGTGGGGTACACGTGTAATCGTTTAACGTAATTTGGAGTGTGCTATAATGGCCGAAGAAGAACTGAATCGATCTTTGGGCGCCATAGCGTCGATCCTTGAGAATTTGCAACAGCGTGTCGGTACAAAGGAGCCGTCGCCGACATCAACCACATCGCCAGCCACCCAAACCACTCCCATTTCGTTGGCCTTGCCGAGTTTTGACCCCGACAATATGGATAGTGGTATTTGGTTACAAAAAATTGAAGGGTATAAGAACGAATTTGCTTGGTCAGATCGGGAAACCGTGAGTAGAATTGGTCCATTTTTGCAAAAATCTGCACTAAGATGGTTTTCGGCATGGCAACCCACGGAAGAAACGTGGGAAAATTTTAAATTTGACTTTTCTGTATCTTTTCCCAAACAAAAGAATTTGGGTAAACTGTTAAGCGATGCTGTAAATTATCGTAGTTCCGATGCGCGCAGTTATGTTGAATACGCGAGAATTAAATTAGAAAAATTAAAGCGCACGCGGGCAAGTTGGTCTGATTCGGATTTGATCGAAATAATTGCTCATTCAATAGACGATCTTGCGGTCAGAACTGCGGCCTATAATTGTAGTGCCGCCTTTGTTAGTGATTTAATTGCATTTCTCTCTAATTACATAAAAATTCCTCTAGTCGAAAAATCGGCATCCGAATTGAATAAGAAAAATAATGTATTTTCACACAAAAAAAACGACGCAGGCAAATTGTTATTCTTGCGGTCAATCGGGACACTTTTCTCGCGATTGTAAATCTAAAACTAAGAATACTAATAACTCGGATAATAAAGGGTTTGATGTTTGCCGATATTGTAAAAGACCTGGTCACGGCATTGAAAATTGTTTTCGTCGGCAAAATAAACAAAGTCGAGGAAGTGAAGTTTCAGAGTCCGGACAGGACCCAACCGTAAAGAAATTTAAATCTCATCACGTTTTGCTCAATTCACATAATTTTAATGAAAACAAGTTAAAAACTGTGCCTATCGTTATTTCGGGTTACACTACAAATTGTTTAATTGATACCGGCTCCACGTGTTCGCTAATAAAAGAAACGTTGGTAGACAAATTAAATCTAAAGAAAATTCCGCGTGTTACTCCTTTACGATGGTTCGACGGTACCATACATAATTCTTTTTCTTTTACCAAAGCATTGGTAGAGTTTCCCGAAATAAAAATAACGCTTGATCTTGTTATTGTGCCGCATAGTCATTCCAAATATGACGTTATCGTTGGTGAAAATGTTTACGAAAATAATGTAGTTTTAATAAAAAATAAAAACGTTCAAAAAATTATGCCCATGCTTGCGCTTACAAATTCTACTCGAACCATTCATAACTCGGAAATAACAAGTGATCTGGAGCATGCAGAAATGGCTGAACTAATCAAACTGCTGGGGAATTATCAGAATTTGTCAACTGCTACTGATTTTACCATTAAACCTGTCAATACCGGGGAATTAACCATCACATTGACAGAAAACAAAACTGTTTATCACCATCCCTACCGTATGTCGGAGTTTGAGCGTCAGAAAGTACGTGGCATCGTTGCTGATCTAATTAAAAACGAAATCGTCCGGGAGAGCAATTCTCCATTTGGGAGCCCGATTATACTCGTTAAGAAAAAAGATGGGACATTTCGATTGTGTGTCGATTATCGTCATTTGAATAAAATAACTTTAAGAGATCGGTATCCATTGCCACGTATTGACGATCAGCTCGATCGTTTAGGCAAAAATAAATTTTTCACGTCACTTGATATGGCTTCGGGCTTTCACCAAATCCCGATTAATCCCGAGTCGATTCCAAAAACCGCTTTCGTGACACCGGATGGTCAGTATGAGTATTTAAAAATGCCTTTTGGACTGGCCAATGGTCCTGCGGTCTTTCAGAGAGCAATTAATATGGCTTTAGGTAACCTAAAATATGACACCGCGGTTGTTTACATGGATGACATAGTAATACCCTCCATCACACTTGAGGATGGATTTTGTAAACTAAAATTAGTTCTTGATGCTTTGTCTAAAGCCGGATTTTCAATTAACCTTCGTAAATGTCGATTTTTTATGCAAAACATCACCTATTTAGGTCGTCAAATATCGGCTGATGGTATCCGACCTGATCCGAATAAAGTTAAAGCAGTCAAGGAAAGTCTGTCACCCACTAACGTGAAACAAGTGCGCCAATTCATCGGTTTGGCGAGCTACTTCCGTAAATTTATTCCCGCTTTTTCTTCCAAAGTAGCTTGTATAACTCACTTGACTCGTAATGATGTTCCCTTTGTTTGGACGACTGAATGTGAAAAAGCAAGGCAGTATGTTATTGATGTCCTTACTCAAAAACCCCTATTGTCAATTTTCGATTCAAATTTAGAGACTCAATTGCATACTGATGCGAGCAGTATTGGTTTCGGTGCTATTTTATTGCAGAAACACAGTGATACCTTTCGTCCAGTTGAATATTTCAGTCAAAAAACCAATCCAGATGAAGCTATGTATCATTCGTTTGAACTAGAGACTCTGGCCGTTGTGAAAGCTTTAAAAAATTTTCGTGTATATTTGCTTGGATTAAGATTCACTTTAGTAACTGATTGCAATTCCTTAAAATTATCTGCAAGCAAAAAAGAACTTAAGCCGCGGACCGCCCGCTGGTGGGCTTATATGCAGGATTTCGACTTCGAAATTGTTTATCGTAAGGGCTCTGAAATATCTCATGTTGACTTCCTTAGCAGGAACCCAATTGAAACTGTAGCTCATATCGATTCACAACCCAATTTTCATAAAAATTGGCTTACCGTATCACAAAGTCAAGATGAGGAATGTAAACAAATCATTCAATCTTTGAACGATGCTAAAGATGATGTCAAACGAAAATATAAATTAGAAAAAGAGACCTTATTTCGTATTACAACCAATAAAAATAACAAATCGTCTCAGTCTTTACTTTTTGTACCATCTAATAACCGTTATAGTCTTTTGAAAATATTTCACGATGATCAAAGTCACATAGGTTGGGAAAAAACTCTTGCCTCAATCAGACTTTACTTTTGGTTTCCCCATATGACCAGGTACGTTAAAAAGTATGTTGAACACTGTTTGATATGTGCAGTACGAAAAAATCAGACGGGTCCTAAACAAGGCTTCCTTACTTCTATCCCAAAGCCCGATGAACCATTCCATACAGTTCATGTCGACTGTCTGGGCCCCTTACCAGGTAATCCAAAAAACTATAAATATATCCTTGTTATAATTGACGCCTTCTCCAAATTCTGTCTCCTATATCCTCAATCCACCGTTACTACAGAAGAAACAACACAAAATTTTGCTAAATTCCTCAGCATATTTGGCACGCCCTCCAAACTAATTCACGACGCTGGAACTAATTTCATAGCAAAAATATTTAAATCATTTACCGAATATTTTGGCATCGAATTACACGTGACAACCCCCGGTGTTCATCGCTCCAACGGACAAATAGAACGCTATATGCGAACTATTACCAATTTGTTAAGAGTTGAATCCAATAAAGTAACAGATTGGCCGAACAAAGTATGGAAGATCCAGTTAGTAATCAATACTACGAAACAAAAGACGACTGGTTGCTCACCTTTTAAGTTAGTATTTGGTCGAGAGGGTCAAACGCCTCAAATTCGTACAGTCTTAACCGATTTGCCAATCCCTGATGAAACTAAATCTCCAGTGGATTATTCCGCAGTTATAAAGAAACTACGGCAAAATTCAGAAAGGCAGTTGAATTATCTAAATAAGAAGCGAAGAGACAATCAGCTGTATAAAGTAGGTGATACTGTTTTGTTAAGCCGAGGTCAAAGACCTGAAAAGTTTTCTTGTGAATTTGTTGGTCCTTACATAATCAAGAGATCACTTACCAATAATCGGTATTTGATTAAGAAATTAGGTACTCCGAAAACTTTTAAATGTTCTAAGGATCAGTTGCGGCATTGGCCTACTGATTGGACGCCTGACGATTTCCAAAGATTATTACAACTAGACAATTGTAAGTACATAATTTGACTTGTTGTGCCGTGTTAGATTGATTTGAGTTGTGTATATAAAACTAATTTAAATAGTCTTTGGAGTATTTTGTGTTTTGATTTTGTTGTTTGAGAGCCCATCGCAAATACGTGCTTATTGCAGTATTTCCATCGCGCTGCTCAAGTCAACTCTGTGTTTTGATTTTGTTGTTTGAGAGCCCATCGCAAATACGTGCTTATTGCAGTATTTCCATCGCGCTGCTCAAGTCAACTCTGTGTTTTGATTTTGTTGTTTGAGAGCCCATCGCAAATACGTGCTTATTGCAGTATTTCCATCGCGCTGCTCAAGTCAACTCTGTGTTTTGATTTTGTTGTTTGAGAGCCCATCGCAAATACGTGCTTATTGCAGTATTTCCATCGCGCTGCTCAAGTCAACTCTGTGTTTTGATTTTGTTGTTTGAGAGCCCATCGCAAATACGTGCTTATTGCAGTATTTCCATCGCGCTGCTCAAGTCAACTCTGTGTTTTGATTTTGTTGTTTGAGAGCCCATCGCAAATACGTGCTTATTGCAGTATTTCCATCGCGCTGCTCAAGTCAACTCTGTGTTTTGATTTTGTTGTTTGAGAGCCCATCGCAAATACGTGCTTATTGCAGTATTTCCATCGCGCTGCTCAAGTCAACTCTGTGTTTTGATTTTGTTGTTTGAGAGCCCATCGCAAATACGTGCTTATTGCAGTATTTCCATCGTGCTACTCAAGTCAACTCTGTATTTGTAAATGCGTGCTTACTACAGAATTTCCATCGTGTCTGTCAGCTTGTGAGTTATTACGTAAATCTAGTCCCAATTGTTTGTGAAATTCATTTGATTGATGAATTCTCGTTTTTTGTTCATTACAGGGAACTCTGGGACGGCTGATGATAAATCTGCAGAATGAAAGGTTTACGAATTTTTACCGATGTACACATCTATATATTTTAACGTTGCTGTAAAGAAATAAAACTTTGTTTTTCTTCTGTGTGTTCATGTCTGTGACACTTCAAATGAGTCATGCATTCCGAGAGCGGAATGTTGTCAGTTTGGCCGTGTTAGATTACGTTCGAATATTTAAATATTGGCGCGATCTATCGATTTCGGATGCGTCGGGAAATCTTCGGGTCTATTCGCGCGCGTGAGCCGGGACGCCGCAGAGGGTGGCGACGGGCATCAGTTGATGCCCTGCTCTGGCATGCACCGCTCGACATTGACGCCAAGATCGGAAAAGTCGTCTTTAAAACAATCTCGATTTATTTAAATCTAACAATATCGTCTATTTTATTGTAGTATAGTATAGCGGGTACCATGAAATTGAATTTTTAAACAAGTTTTAGCTTCCAAAGGATTTGTTCGGAAAATTGATGAAATTTCTTTAAAATTCGATTGCCTAAATAAATTATAGAAGGTCAGCTTTTTTATTTACACTTTTTTTTTGATAATATGTCAAAATTATTATACAATTTGTTTTACACTTAGTTACAAAGTTTCGCCGTATCAAGCATTACGAGAATTAATTCGCAGGTTAAGATTCTTTCAAGATATTTAAAATAACTGAGATTCAACAACGAAATTACGGAAACACATCACAAACAATACAAAAGTCAAATCATTCATGTTAATATATTTTCAACATATTAAGCGATTCCGTTACTTTTTTAATGTTAACCAGTTATTTGTGTCCATTTATGTTTGAAAATTGCATTGCTAAATTTCAGAGGCAAGATCTCACCGAAAAATATGATGGAAAGTTTATATAATCAAAGGGCCGAAAATGCATGTTTTGTGAGATAAACGTAAACTTTTCAAAAACCGGTTGCAATTGCAATTTGCAGTATAACCGTGTCATCAAGTATTTTCCTAGTTTACTGAAGTTAGATGATACATCACATTCAATTTTTGGTTTAAGAAATAAAGGCTGAAAACAGTGCTCGTTTTTCTTATTTAAGTTAAGTAAGTTTTCAAATTTTCAGGAAATTGAAACTGAACTACGAATATAAACAATATTGAATTTTTTTCGGCATGTTCATGTCCTTGTCCAGATGTGGTAAACAAGATTTTAAACGGATAAAAACTTTCGTCTTTGAAGAAAAGGACATTTTTTATCAAAATTTTTGATTGAACAAAAAATATTATTTTGCATGTAGAGTGTCCAAACCGTTAACAATTTTTTACAAGAGTAAAGCAAACTTATTCTAAAGTTTTTAGCAAAGTGCTACTCAGATTATAAGTTCTAAATGAGATATTTTTAACCAAACAAGCAAAAAAATATTATCATCCAAACTTAATGAAAACAATTAGATCCAATTTTGAAACATCATTTTGCTAAAAACTTTTAAATAAGATTACTTTACTCTTGTAAAAAAAATGAATTGTAAGAAAATGAATTAAATGAATGACATTTTCTCGAAAAAGAGCATTTTTGGTATCTGGCTTAAATCACAGACAATTTTTTTAAAGTTTTTGTTATAATGTATGGAACTATCCGCGAAAAATGAAAACTACGTAACCTCTTTACATTGTTAAATTATTGTTTTGTAGATATGACTCCTTCAAGCTCGGATAATAGCCAAATAATTTCCGATTCGGAATATAAATTACCAGAAGAATCCGAAGCAGAAAGTTCGTGGGAATGTGGATACAGAGAAAGTGATTTTTTTTGGATAGCCCTATTGAACTGCGTCAAGAATTGCCCGACAGTACATATACTACGATGCAAACAATACAACCAGGTTTACCTCCCGAAGAAAATAATGGCGTTGACCACAATTACTGTGTCAGTCTCAGACAAAATGACAATCTGGATTCCGAAGTTAAAACACCTGGAAAAACTCGACGTGTTAGGAGAAAACATCAATGCCTATATTGTAATCAAGATGTCGGAAATTTCTTAAGGCACATGGAGCGTAATCACTGGGACGAATTCCAAGTACAGGAAATTTTGTCGTTATAGAAGAAATCTAAGAAACGGATTAAGTTGATTGACAAACTTCGTAGGGAAGGTGACTTTTCTACATCAAATATTGTACCTGTAATGGCAAACAAAAAAAAGCTAGTTGAAGACTATATTGTTTGCAAATTTTGTCAAGGCTATTATGCCAAGAATAGCCTTCGTCGCCACGCAAAAAAATGTTTCTTTAATCCCGATCCGAGTCAACGCTTTCAAGCACAGATTGAAGGTCAAACAGTAATGGTTGGGAATTTTGGACCGAATGATCCTTTAAAAATTAGCGGTCTTATAAACATGTTACGAGCAGATGAAACTTCGTTGGTTGCTAAGAAAGATCAACTTATTTGTGAAGTTGGTAGGCGCTATATAAAAAGTCACAAAGAAAAACATGAGACGATTAGCTCGTTTACTCATCAGCGTCAGAACACTCAAAAATAATAAAACACTTGGTTTAGCTGAGATTCTCTTACCTAAAATGTTTAAAATACTGGTTTTAGCTACAAGAAACATAGCAGAGTATGACGTTGAAAATCGAAGTTTTAAGTCCCCTTCTTTGGCACTTCAGCGTGTTCTATTGAAATTCAAAAGGAAAATCCTCGTAAAAATTATATAGAAAATTTCACGGAATTAATAAAACTTATTGATAATGACTGGGCAATTGAGGTTTCGAGCGAAGCAGGACAGAATTTGGCTTACAAAAAATTTAACAAACCAACATCAATACCTGTGGCGGAAGATATCAAGGTTAATTTAATTTTTGAAACTTGTGTAAATATTGGGAAAAAAGTAGCTTCTTGCATAATCGTCGAAAAAATTTGTTTTATAATACAAGTTTTATCACAAACCAAAACATAATTTATGCGCGTTTTAGCACTCAAGTTGACATCTCCAATAAAAGATTTAGTTTTAATCTTTTCCTGAAGATGGACAAAATTGTGTTTCGGTTATATTAAGTTTATTTGTTTTACAGTTTTTATATTTATGTAAAAATAAAATTAAAAAAAAAGTAGAGGTATCGCTATGAAAACAATATCTCACCAAATACATGCTATGAAATAATCTTTAATGACTTAAATGAAAGTTTAGATTATCAATAAAAAAAAGTGATTTTGTAATAGAGATAGTTAGATATGTAATCAAAATTTCATCATTGTTTTATGTAGTTTTCTTTGTTTCAGAAACTGGACCAATATCTTAAAAATCTTATTTCACAAGCCAAACTTGTCTTGGCAGAAAATGATCACAATGAAAAAGCTTATCGAGATTTACTGGAAGGGATATTTTGCAGTGTCATGATTTTTAACAAAAGGCGGGTAGGGGAACTCCAAAGGATGACCCTGTTAGCCTTTTTAGAAAACCACGATTCAGTCCCATCGTCCGAATTTGAAAAAGTGCTGACAAATTCCGAGAAAATTTTATTTAAATCACTCAAACGCATAGTCATTAGAGGAAAAAGGGGAAGAGGGGTCCTGTACTTTTTGACAAAATCGCGATGTATTCTACGCTCTCTGAGAAAAAAATTTTATCTTGAAAATAATCAGTATCTTTTTGGTTTACCGGGAACATTAAATCCAATTGGAGGATATACGGTCATGAGAAAACATTCATTACTGGCGCTTGGTGGAAACAAGGCAGCAGCATCATTGTTGACTTCCAGTAGGTTAAGAAAGCAGTTGGCAACTATCACTCAGATTTTTAAAATGGACAAAAATGAATTGGAGCAGCTTGCTTCATTTATGGGTCATAATGAAAAAACCCATTCAGAATTTTATCGTTTGCCAGACGACGTTTACCAAACCGCTAAAGTGAGCAAGTTATTATTACTTTCACAAAACAGTGCGTTATTTGAAAAGAACAAAGGGAAACCTCTGAGTGAAATAGAATTAAATGATGAGATCATAGACGAAAGTGATGACAATTATTTAGAAGATATTTACGAAAATGTGTTAGAAAATCAAAACCCGAATCAATTGAAAAATCAGGATCAGGTTCCTGCCTTTGGTGTAGCAGACATTCCTAGAGAAAAAAAACGGAAACGTAAGCTGGTACCATGGACAAACGACTAAAAAAAAATTACGGAGTGTTTTTTCAAAAAACACATTAAAAATAAAATTCCTCCAAAAAAGCAGGAGGTAATGAGATTAATCGAGAGTCATCCTGGGATTTTTACAAACAAAACATGGCCAGTAATAAAAGTTTACATATGCAATAAATTTAATAAAAAATAACGGGTCTGAAGATGTGTTATTTACAAATTTAGAAATGTTTTTTAGTTTGTCAATGATAACGAATGTTACATGAAAACTATTTTTGTTTCCAAATTTTTGCTACGAAAAAGGTTTATTTTTTATTTTATTAATGCAATCTATTTTATTTTAATTCATTTGATCATTGCGTATAAAATATGGTAAATAAAGACTATATATTTAATTTTGCATTTCTCTTATCCCTTCTTTGCAATCCCTTGGACAGAACGAAATTCACATCCGAGATCCAGAATCGAGTGAGGCTCGAGTAATACAATTTCTATTCAAAGTGAGAACAAAAAATGTATATTAATTAAGCCCAATCTGCAACCCCTTGGATACAGCAAGATTCTCAATTGAAATCTTAAATAAGGAGCAGAGAAATACCTTATTTTAAAGCTTTTGAAAAACGCTTCAAGTTCTTGGTTTGCTAGAAAACAGAAACACTTTTTTTGAATGTTGAAATAAATAAAAAAAATTAATGAAATGAAAATTAAATCTTTCAAAAGTTTGCATTCATTTACATCAAACCGAGAAGAATATTATAAAATCTAGATTTTCTAGTATTCCTCAAAAACATTTTTCAAAAGCTTTAAATGAGCATCACTCGAATCCCTTTGCTACTTGAAATTTTAATGGTCAATGTTCAATGTCTAGTTAATATACTTTTATGCTTTCACTTCTCCTGATAGAAATCATCACACAATTTAAAAACCTAAAACAAAGCTGTTTTAGGTTTTTAAATTGTCATCTCTATATGCAATTATAACTCAAAAGCAAAATAAAATACTTTAAAATGGACATAAACTGTTCCGAAAAATATATAAACATTAGTAAACTAAAAATGAACCTTTTCTAAATTTGTAAATAAAATATCTTCTTCGGATCAGCATATTTTTTTAAATTTATTGCATACGTAAATTTTTATTACTGACAATGTTTGGTTTATAAAAATCCCAGGACAGTTCACGATTTATACAATTTTTATTTTTAATATGTTTTTTGAAAAACCGTTCTGTAATTTGTTTTTGATCGTCGTTCATGGTAACAACTTAAATTTTATTTTTTTGTTTTTTTCTCTAAGGATTTCTTCCGCAGCAGTTGTAACCTACTCTTCAGTTCGTTGTGATTTTGATTATTTGTGTTGTGAAGGTATAAATATGTTATGCACTTAAGTCGTTTGGGAAACGTCGTCGAGCAAACGATAAAATTCTGATTGTTTTTTTTTTTCATTTAAACCCATAAATAAAGCAACATGCTCATTGTTGTCCATTTTGAATATCTGAGTGTAAGGTTTATCTGGAAACCTTAATTGCCCTAGAAATTTTCCATATAATCCTTGTGAGGATTTTCTTTCTTAATTTCGATGTAATCAGCTGTATTTACTGCATTTTAATCAGTTTTTCAAAGGAGACTGAATCTTGTTAGTTAATTAATCGGTTTCTTCGATTTTTACTTTTTTTTAAATTCCCGACGCTTTGATCAGCAATGATGTTTTCTCTTAACACGTCGAGATTTTTCAGATTATTTTTGAAAACACTTCGAACACTCATTGAGTATTGAAGATGCCAAGTGAGATTTTGGCGAAACGTCTGCAGGATTCCAGTCGGATGCAGGATTTGCAGGATTCCAATCGGATGCAGGATTTGCAGGATTCCAGTCGGATGCAGGATTCCAGTCGGATGCAGGATTTGCAGGATTCCAGTCGGAGTTCAGCGAGCGAACGGATGATAAGGATTCCAGTCGGAGTTCAGCGAGCGAACGGATGATATCCCGGAATATAGTGTCATCATATATATATATATATATATATATATATATATATATATATATATATATATATATATATATATATATATATATATATATATATATATATATATATATATATATATATATATATATATATCTGTGTGTGTGTGTGTGTGTGTGTGTGTGTGTGTGTGTGTGTGTGTGTGTGTGTGTGTGTGTGTGTGTGTGTGTGTGTGTGTGTGTGTGTGTGTGTGTGTGTGTGTGTGTGTGTGTGTGTGTGTGTGTGTGTGTGTGTGTGTGTGTGTGTGTGTGTGTGTGTGTGTGTGTGTGTGTGTGTGTGTGTGTGTGTGTGTGTGTGTGTGTGTGTGTGTGTGTGTGTGTGTGTGTGTGTGTGTGTGTGTGTGTGTGTGTGTGTGTGTGTGTGTGTGTGTGTGTGTGTGTGTGTGTGTGTGTGTGTGTGTGTGTGTGTGTGTGTGTGTGTGTGTGTGTGTGTGTGTGTGTGTGTGTGTGTGTGTGTGTGTGTGTGTGTGTGTGTGTGTGTGTGTGTGTGTGTGTGTGTGTGTGTGTGTGTGTGTGTGTGTGTGTGTGTGTGTGTGTGTGTGTGTGTGTGTGTGTGTGTGTGTGTGTGTGTGTGTGTGTGTGTGTGTGTGTGTGTGTGTGTGTGTGTGTGTGTGTGTGTGTGTGTGTGTGTGTGTGTGTGTGTGTGTGTGTGTGTGTGTGTGTGTGTGTGTGTGTGTGTGTGTGTGTGTGTGTGTGTGTGTGTGTGTGTGTGTGTGTGTGTGTGTGTGTGTGTGTGTGTGTGTGTGTGTGTGTGTGTGTGTGTGTGTGTGTGTGTGTGTGTGTGTGTGTGTGTGTGTGTGTGTGTGTGTGTGTGTGTGTGTGTGTGTGTGTGTGTGTGTGTGTGTGTGTGTGTGTGTGTGTGTGTGTGTGTGTGTGTGTCCACATTACGTAGTTCACTATTTAAGTTACACATTCTGTGCAATAAATATATTATTTTGTCCCAGATTAGTGTAAGCTCTAGGAAGTTCAAAAGTGATATTATTCCTTGTTAAATATGTAGGCACAATAAATTTTAATTTACTAATTAGAAGAGAACAATCAATTCTGCTCCAAACCATTTTATATAAAAACATTGCTTCAGCAACTTTTCTTTTTTAATAAATATCATGCTTTTTATTATAAAGATACCTCAAAAAGTACTTCTGAATCGTTTCTAATTCATTTTTATATACCGAATAATACTAACTCTAAATAATCGAACAAATCTCGAGAATACCCTTACATACGCATTGTACAGATTTCCTTTATTTTGAATACCGCAAGAATTTCAAACCACAAAGTCACATTTGTGATATGTCGATAGGTTTTCGAAAGAAAACAGCTAAGTTAATTGCTACCACTTTATACCACTCATACAAAGTTCTCTTCCATGAGGACCGCGCGTGTCCACGTCGTCGTCTTCGCGGGAAGTGTCACTTTACACGTCAGTTTCGTTTCCCATGAATCCGAGTCACTTCGGACATTTCCGGGATTTTCCTGCACGGATTTGGGAGCATTTTTGAATTTTGACGTTTGTCAATTCTAACGGTCATGTCAGTGAATGTATTCGTGTTGTTTTGCGAAAACGTACCCAAAAACTAACCGTAGTAGAAATAGTACAGTATCCAACAAGTTCGGTAAACTTTTTAATTCACTCGTTTATTAAAAACTCGCTCCGCTCGTGTCAAATAAACTCGTGAGTCAAATACACCGCACTTGTTGCATAATATACTGTAAGTCAGCCCTATATTAAGCAGTAGCTCCGCTCATGCCAAATAAACTCATCACTCAAATGCCGTTTGTTGCATTAGCCGATTAAAGTTTGCCGGATTGTAGGGGGGATTCATTGCCCGGTTGACCCTGACGAGGGTTCGCAAATATCGTTGGCCAGGAACAAGGAATGGAAGTATTCATATGGCAAACAAACTCTCGATTTTGACGATTTTCTTTATTCTACCGCGAACGTTGCAAGAGGGCGTGTTCTAGGTCGAGTCACACGGAGGAGAGAGAAGAACGCGCAGTCGCTAGTGTGCTTTGTGACCTGGGCGAATGGTTAGGATGTGACTGGGTATGAGGGTTTTCCTGGTAGCACGTAACTTGGGAAGCGGTACATGCGCCACAAAAGTAAAGAAGAGAAGTATTGTGTTGAATTCCATTTTTCAAAACTCGTAACAAAAATATTTTTCTTTTTAAGTTATCTAGAATGGTAAGCGAAGAATCGCAAACCCTTATTAAACAACCGGATGATGTTGATATTACCAGTGACTGGAATTATTTTTTAACTCATCATGATAGTGAAATACACAAAATACCGCACTATTTTGATTTAAAACAGTGGACTCCTAATAACGTTTATCGAGCAAGGGTCAGTCATGTCTTTAGCCCTTCACATTTTTGGATTGTGACACTTGAACGGGAACTTGATTGTTTTCATATGTACCTTCACAATTTTTACACAAAAAATAAAGACCATTATAGAGTACCTATTTCCCACATCAAAAAAGGGATGTATTCTGTAGCATATACTGAGGGTTCATACTACCGAGGTAGAATTACTAATGTACCTCATCAGATGTGCAACAAAACATGGGCATTTGTTTACCTACTAGATTTTGGATATATGGCCAAAGTTGGGCTGGATGACATTTATTTCTTTACCAAAAAATTGTACAGAGTTCCGCAATTTGCTATACGTGCGACGTTAGCTGGTAAGTCTTCAAGTCGTAAATTTGTATGTCTAGTTTTATTAGAAAATTGCCTCATAATCAAGAATAATTTAGTTATTAGTTGGCTCCAAGCAATTCATTAAAACAAATTAAAGCAAGGAGTGATACTCAAAAGTATTTTTGTTTTAAATTTGACACTATAAAAAATTGAAAATTATAAGCTAATAAGACAAAACTTTATAAGGTCTTTATGATTGAAAGTCAAGCAAGGAAGCTTCTCTTAAATTCTAATAGCAAACTTTTTTTAATAGCCTGTACAAATGTCTAATTTCGTTTGCCTAGAGAGTCATTTTTGTTTAATATTTTTTAGGCATAGGTCCATTAAATTTAATTAACTGGTCCCCCGAAGTTGTTGCCCATTTTTGCCAGTTGGCAAATGCAAGAAAAATATTAATGGTTCAAATCAGACAAATAGATTCCATTAACAAAACTCTTATTGTCAGACTTGCAGAATACAATTATGACACACTTCAGGTGGAGGATGTTATTAATCAACTAGTAGTGGATAATATGGCAAAGCAGCTTACAATGATTGATTTAAAGGAATTAAAACACTTGGCAAAAAGAAGGAGAGCTATGGGTAGCAGGACTAAAATAAAATTTAGGTTTTTATGTCCATCCTTTGATGATATTGAATATGCCAAATTTCCTGATGCTTTAGTGGCTATTGATTATTTAAGAAAGATGCAAGATGATTCTTTATTTAGAGATTTAACTCTCAAGAACTAAAGTATTATAAGCAACAAAAAATACTTCATATAAATAAATGTTTTTATATTGTATTGTTTTATTGATGTCAATTGTTTTACCCAAATTGGCAATAATCAAGTTTTAACATTCGTTGAACATGGTAAGTAATTATTTAATAAAATCTGTAATGCAACTGAAACATTTTGGAAAATATTTTTCCAAGACATCCTGCCAAATGTAAAGATTGATCCCCAGGCAACCTTTAAAATGATGAATAAAATTAACCATCCTACTCACAACTGCATGCTAATCAAAGCTCGGGCAATGTTATTTTTATGAAAATAGATTTTGCGCTGGCAAAATATGACTAATGATGGACAAAAACAATTTAATCAGAATTATTTAGCATTTAAGGAGGAAACTGAATTAAATTAAAGATTTTAAAAGTTTTTATTGTAATATCTGTATTATGAATGTATATTTAAAAAAACTTACAAAAGCTTTACAAAATAAATATAAAACCAAATTCTTTTCCGCATCAGTGTCAGCATTATCCAATAATGAAAAACACCAAAGTCAAAAAAGATAATCACACAAAAATTCACTCACCTTTGGTCATTATCAAACTTTTCTAGAAATTTTATAATTCTTTGTCGCCATGTGTAATTGGCGAATCGGTAACAATTTTGGTCTACTTCAAATCCCTCAGTCTCAACTAATCATAATAACATAAAGGTGAATGAATATAAAATATTCACAAAAAAATGTGCGTACATAGTTCAACATCTGTACATTAACTTACTTCAGTAATATATACATTTGACTAGTCTGCAGCTTAACATTTTGTATATAATATAAATATGGTCGAACAATGTTAAATTCTATATGTCAATTTTCTTTAAGAATGGTCAAAATATTTTTTCACGTGCAACTTTTCAAAAATGAATTTTTTTTACTGAAAAAAAAAAGTTTAAAACTGATACGAGTGTAACTCGGTGGTGGCTTATCTTATGCGGTTATGCTTATAACCGCATAAGTTATAATACTCGGCAATATGTTTCCATATGACAAATAATATGCTTTTAAAAATATTACTGCAAATGATAACATTTGATATAACATTCTCGCTACTCAGTCTTTTTACAAGTGGCTAGTCCAACATGGTTAATTAATTTTATACAATCTCTGTGTTATAAATTTAAATCCTAATTAACTACATTCAAATATGTATTTCTCCTTGCATGTTTAGTTGTAGAGTTTTTTTTTGACTTTTTCACAAAATTTATCAAGAATTAAATTTACTGTATTACCTGGATGAGAAGATAGTTTAAACAAACTACTACAACTATTGAGAGAACGAAGTGTAGGTACATCTATGTTTGCTTGGAGCTAAGTGCCATGATATTCAAACATTAAAGAACTTTTTTATCTTTTCCAGTTTTACATGTTGGGATGATTTTTTGTTATAATAATAATTTAATTTTTAATTCCACTTCAAAATGTTGCATTCTAAAATACGAAAGTCATTGAAATTATGACGTGAAATTAAAAAGTAAGAAATTATTCTCTTATGATTTTAAGAGAAATGGGAGAATGCATGATAGGGAGAAGCTGTGGTCAGTCTGCCACATTCTTTAGTCAAGCAGCATCACATATTATTACCTTAAGGAAAAGGTTTTTTCTCGATTATTCGTCTTGTAGTAGTAACATACACAAATGTCCATAATGTGCAAAAATAAAACATTTCCTTGTGGATTCAAATCTAGAACTTGGGAAACATGATTTGGTTATGTAATTAAAATTTTATCATTACTTTTATTGAACTATTGAAATATTTTCAATTTGAATAAGCGCAATTCTTTTATTATACACAAATATATTTTTGGTTTTCCGCAAATAACTATTAGTACCGCCTTGCTATAGATATAACAGCAAACACTTTTTTAAAATTGTCTGCTTTTCCTGCTTAAAAATTTGAATTTCTTTAAGGGATCTGGCACTTATAAACTTAGTTAGGGCAATCAAATTTCGTGTGTAATTTATAGACCAGGTCAATTCTAATTCTAATGTTTTAAGAGTGGCAAAACGAAATACCTTAAACACTAAAATACCAATATTTCCAGAAGTTTGTTTCATTATGCTGTATTGCAACATTGCAGTTTTTTTGCAGCTTGTATCTGGTCAAGCAATCAATATGTGCAATATTCTGTTTCTATGGGCTGCATTTCTGTTCCCATGAAAAAAAAAACTATTTCAATATCATGAAAAATTCCAATAAATTACGTTTTTAGCACCCACAGATTGCACTTTTTGATGCCATTTGAAAGTTATTTTGCAGTATCGTGAAATTCGGGAAAATTTTTGAGATAAAATTTGAAAATTTCTCAAATACATTTAACAATTTAAATTTGTCTTCAAAATTTTCATTTTTTCAGCTCAACATGATGGTACACGTATTCAAATTTTATTTCTGCCTATTCTGCAAATTTGGAAAAGCATGCCCTTTTTGTTCACACCTTGTTGCTTTAGAAATTTGCGAATACAAGCTGTTCAGAATATTCCTTTATTTTGTATGACCAGGAAATTAAAACTGCTTAATTATAAGAATCAAGTGAGGTCAATTATAAATATACCTGCTATTACCAAATCCCCAGAAACAAAATATACGCGATATCGCACATGTTGGAACATGTTTAGCAATAGTCTGTACCAATAGTGTCATCTGCGAAAGTAACCCTCTTCTAGCTGGGTTGAGGAGGCACCAACGGAGCATGAGGATGTAGAGCACTAACTGGCCGACTTCGTGTCTGCTCTACTTTTCTCATCTCGACCTGTTACATTATAAAACACATCCATTAGTAACAAAAATTCCATTAAGAGGTCAGTAACAAAAACGAAAATTCAAAAAGATCTTTTGTAAGCACTCCTTACCATATTTTCATGAAGCACTTCCATATACTCCCTGATTAAAGTAGCGATTTGAAATGCTTGTGCGGTAGTAAGTATAACTTTGCTCTGCTTATGATTACTTCCGGTAATAATCATGAGGCAGTTTAGTGCGGGTGAATAACTAAGTATTCCGCTGTAGTCATAAGTGCAAAGTGTGTTGCGAGATCTGTGTTCCAAAAGGTGAAGCCCTTTTTGGTCGACGGCCAGCCACAATACGCGAGGCCAGTTAGACGTAAATGATTGCTGAAAGAGTACAACCTCCACTAAATTGTTACAAAATCCATTTGAAATTTTACCATAACGTCAAATATGGTTGCCTTGTGCAGAGGCCAGCTTTGTATCAAATTTAAGAACGCCTGTTTCGCCTCAGATGGGGTCATTCCCCTCAAAGATTGGTGATGCATTTGTACACCGTCTTGGGGTACTGTCGGAACCATCCTGGCTGGAAGACAGTGGCAAGCAATTGGTCTGTAATCATGTATGGTGTCATCAAAATCTCCTAACTCCAACTGAGCTTGCAGGGCTGTTAGCATCATCTACCAAATTAATGAGAACTCATCTTTTATGTTCCAGAACTTCTCACTTGATATTTCTTACCGCTTCCTTATCGGTTATTGGGAATCTGTCTGTCCTCAAATCATGTAGGACTTGATGATAAAGTAGTTCTTTTTCAACTGGATCATTAAGATTGATGTAGTTATCCATAAACAGATGTTTTTTAAATAGAAAGAAATGGTGTTGAGGCCTCGTTCTTTTTGCAGTTCCTGTATTATTGGTGGCATTTGCCGCTGCTGAAGCGGTTCTGTATCGTTCCCACTTTGCCATTACATCCGCCACCTTCTCCTCTGCTGCTAGACTTCTTTCTGAATTACCCAGTACTTCATATATAGCATAACCTAAATAGTAGAGAGGGATATGAATTAATCTCCAACCCTCTCTGAGTTGTTTAATATATATTATAATTGATTAACTGACCTCTGGCATCTGGAGTAAGCCCAATTTTATCCCTAACAGTTTCTAACACGTCACGAGCTGTTGCAGATGGATGAAACTCTACTGAATGATATTGTCCGTCCATAAAATGAAATCTGGCATATACAGGACGTCTATTAATGGTACATAGGATTTCTTCCCGTGACGGTGGCCACTGTCTTCTCCTTGTACCTTGTGTTTTGAGTAAACATTTTTCCGCGAATCTTGCATATTTTCCTTCTTCTGTAACATAATCTGATCCACACCTTTTGAGATGTGCTATTAAATATCGGCGGATGACTTTGTTAGGTGGGAGAACAACCGAACAAGATAAAGATAACAAGGCCCAATGGCGCAAATTAACCCTGGAATTCGGATCGGGGTGGTCTGTTGTCTGTTTCACTAATTGGAGGTAAAGTTCGCAAAGTAAAGAATCTTTTCTCATACAGCGTTCCAAGATAGTTTGCAGTAAGGACACATGCTCATCTTCAACCCTTCGAATTACCTCACCTAAAAAAAGCGCCTTACAAAAATTACGACACCAGTAGCGGTTATTACCATTTTGTCCTAATCCTGCATAAGTTAAGATAATTTGAAAGACCTGTAACATGATCTGTTCTTCTGCCTCGGGCATTCTACTTATACTTTGAGACAATGGTTGCCTGCTGAACGCCCAAAACGCGTAATGGAAGCCCTTATATGTTTCGCCAGTATCTCCACCGTGTTCTTGCCTTAATTTGTCCAACTTGTGTTTGCTCAGTCGGCGCAAAGTGTTTCGTAAAAAGCTACCGGAAGAGTCCATCGGTTTCCGAAGAATTTCATGATCTACTAGGGCCCTTCTGCAGTTTACAAGATTATGATACAAACGTACCCGATCTTCATTGGTAATACCTATAAAAAGAATATAATACGATTTGCTTCTCGCGTCGAACGGAATTTAACCTACTCTTGATTCGTTTTTGTGGGGTTTCACTCTCGGTTAGCCATCCCGCTAAAGACGGACAGTAACTAGCAATTAGAGATCCAATTTCATTTTTCTGTTTGGTTTCAAACACGTAACACTTGTGATTGTTTTCACCTATGTGCCTTTGAAGAGTCAGTGTAATGAAACTATCGCTAGGGTCCAAC